TGTATTAATGTACAATTAGAAATACCGCATTACCGGTTTAACGCTGTATTTTATCTACAGTCTGGCAATATCACCATGAAAAATGCATGTATTTAATCGTTAATATGGAGCAATTATTTATTATACCTAGGCACATTTAACAGCTTTTGCATAATACAAATTGCCAGCAGTTTGACGCAATTCTGTTATTCTACCTAGAAAATGGCGCGATAATAATCAGGGGCAGAACAATTACGGAATGTTATCGTATATAGTGGAAAATTAAGGACACCATTTTATTACAACTTTCATCGATAACTAAATAGCTAACATCGCTTTGTCCTCTTTTAGATATCATTGAATTTAGGTAATCGGTAGAGTAATGCAATGTAGAATGAATTCCTTTGGAGATAGGTGATCTCCACCTACCAATAGTCAATTTGTAAGTTTTCAATTTTTGTTAGTTTGGTTTATCTTAGGATTGTCCTGTAAATGGTTTCCTTAACAATAAACGCTATTTATTCATTATTTATTATTTCAAGAAGTTTGATTTCGATAATAACGACTGTTTTTGAGCAAAAATACCCCGAAGTACCTTACATTGTAATGATTTTCAACGCCTGAAGAATAAAGGATACCTCCACCTATATTTAACAGCGTGTGATGGCTGCAATGTTAATATTGATAATGTGAGTTCTTGTAGTGATTCCCAAGAAACCATCCGAGACGAAGACTCGGCGCGCCGCGTCGGCCAGTGTGATAATATTGACACAGCATTTATAGTGCTGGTGCATCGGCCCATAAATAGGTTCCTCGTACAAACGTGGTACCAACCTGTTAATTAAACAGATATCCAACTCGATGCTGATGCTTTCAATATTCAACCACTTATAACTTGATTAATATTTATCTTTAATTTCTGTGGAGTCCTGTGTGTGTGTGTGATGTCGCCTCGTTTTGTATACACTCCACTTTACTACCTATATATTTTATGTTCGGCCTCTGTTTGCTCAACAATTTTTCGAAAGACGAGGTATACTGGGTTAGGTGTCGGTGGTAGTTAGTGGGCTCTTTGAAATATACCCTTCATGGAGACGCTTTTGTGGTCAGACTTGTTGGCAATGCTGCCAAGGTCCCAAACTTGCAGGGAAAAAATGGGGAATGGGGAAAGAAGGAGATACCGCATTGTTATCGTATGAAACCTTGACTTAAAATATATTTTGCATTCTGTTCTTACACTGCTGTTTATCATTTCACTTCTTAATTACATTATAATATACGCAAACGACGTGACAATACCCCTGAATGTAGGCAACCCATTCTACTTGCGCCCCCAAGACCAAGACGTGATCCTGGATCCGCGCCTGAGCACAGCACATATTAAATCAACATTTGAACATATCAAGGTATTGAGTGCGCTACTGACACGCGAATAATTCAAGTTATTAGAAACACCAATAGTAAATAGGCGCGGGCTTGAAATTCGAGCGACACTACTCGTATACCCCATTCGTAGTCCATTTACGCTCAGACAAAACACACATGCCCAAAAGCGAGATTGTACAGGTCCGTATTTTCCCAATGGTCTTGGAATAATCTAACAAAATAAATGATTAGTTTTATAAAAAGAAGTGCACATACTTTTCACAATCCTTTATTCGCTGTAAGTACTTCCATCTTACATCTTCCGAATATTAATTATTACAGGTTCAATTTGAATATCGATCATATTGTCCAGATCCCACATCTTAAAACGGTCTAATTTTGGTTTGTAGCCATTTCGTCAATAACATTAACATTATATTTATATTTGTGCTGCCTGAATAGATGGATAAGTTCTGCTTTGACTATATGTTATTGAAACGAATGTCTTTTATTAGGAGCCATTGTTGAATTCCTGCCTTTCTTGTGGACATTGTGAGAACTTTTTCTAGTTTTCTAATGTAGTATGCAGCATTATCAAGTTTTGACAATTAGTTTCCAATTTATGAAGTAAATTGTGAGGAAACATGAGTAACTTAAAATTAGAGCATTGCGGTATCATAAAGTTTCTGACGGAAGAGGACCATCAACCGAGAACAATTCTTGAGAGAATGATTGCCATCTATTACAAAATAAAAATTCAATGTTGTTCGAAAATAATCTCGGAGGGGGCATGAACCCATAGAAGAAGATCCCAGAAGTGGAAGACCCAAAACAGCAACAAATGATGAGATGACTCAAAAAGTTGAATCCATGGTTCTCAAGATCGTCGTGTGAAGATCTCCACCATTAATATGATATTGCTCAAAAATTGCGCCAGTTGGAAATTTCTTAAAGTATATTGGAAACTTTGACCAACGACTCTGACTTTTTGGCACAAATTGTGACGGCAACGAAACTTGGGTGCAACATTGGGATCCTGAGACAAAAATAGAATCAAAGCAGTGGGTTCATCAAGGATCTCCACCTCCCAAAAGGCACAAACAGAATTCTATGCTGGAAAATTGTTGTATCGCTTTATTTCAAAAATATAACCAGATATTAAAATTATAAGAAAACGCCTTATCACGTTTTTGTGTCGCTTGTAACAGAGGATTGTACTACGCAATCAAATATAATTGAAAATATGTCAGAATATATGAAAGAAACTGAAATTTTCCTCTGAAATATAGGTATCCAGTTTTGATATTCTTAAACTTTGAGCAAAATGCATAATACTACTTTGTTATAGTTTTGGTAAGTTTATAATATGTCGTCCCAGTGAACATGATGACGCCAAAATGACGTCATTATTCGGTCACTTTTGGTCAGAAACGTCATCGACTAAAAAATACCGTATTTTATGACCACAACAAGAAGTCCTTTGAACGGCTGTCATTTTGACGTCTTTCTTAAGCACTGAAAAATCAACACATACCTACCTAAAACGAAAATATAGACTTTCAACGAATAGTAAGGTAAAGCAGATATCCAAATACTAATAAATGCCTTGTTATTTATAAAAAAAATAACAGAAACCCTTCGTCCAAAAATATTTTGCTGATATGATTTTTCTGCTAATAATATTTCATGTTCAGATATTTGGGTACAATGCGTGATTATTCTTGCGAGCGACTGAACGTCATATCGACCTCAGAGAGATGCCATATCCACGTCATATAGGCGTATCTCCTTTGTATTTGGTCTTTTATACGACATACTATGACGTTATATAGTGACGTCAATTCGGTGTGACATTAGACCGTCATAAAGACGTCATTTCTTCGTATTTTTGTTAGTTGGTGTACGTCTGTAGTGCCCTAAAAATGCCGACAATAAGGGCCGTATCGTCTGTCGTTCCTACAATTGTAGGACGCCTTTATGGCCTCCTTGATTGTCATAGTTTTCTACTTTTCCGTGTCAACGCTCTATTTTGAGATTATGCCACAAATATCTATTTGCATAAAATTATTCAGGCTTTTGATTCATATCTATGTTTTATCAGCGTGCAATTTAAAAAGGTAACATAACTTGACAATAGGAGAATGCTGACGCTGACACGGAATAGGTACAATCTGGAAATGTTTTAAGAAGATAAGAGACTATGACAGTCAAGGAGGCTATAAAGGCGTCCTACAATTGTAGGAACGACTGACGATACGGCCGTAAGACGTCACTATGTTCACTGAATATGAATGGACTTACAATGCGTAAATTAAAAAAGGCGACTTTCAATAAGAATACGATACGAATGCTAGCTTTCGAATGTTCACATATATTTAGCATATTCAGCGAAATGTAGTAATCATTCCCTAACTCCCACAAAATGGATGTCCCTATAGTACGAGGGATGTCTTTTAAGTTTTGCATATAGAAACATAGTAGGCCGCGCGGATCGAACGTCAGTACTGAATCTTAACCTCACTCTTTAGTAAACTTAAATTCAAAGTTTCACAACAATACATGCAGTGTTCTTGCTACAGTGAATTAAGTGTCACCAAGTCATCAGAAAAATGGAACTCAACCGAGAACATTTTCGCGCCATAATTTATTACAACTTTCAGAGACAATTATCGCAACAAGAATGCCTTGCTGACTTACTGTCTGTTTTCGGCAACGAAGCGCCACATCAGTCGACAATTTCCCGTTGGTATGGAGAATTCAAACGTGGACTGGTGAGTCTTAGCGACGATCCCAGGAGTATGAAAATTAGTTTCTCGTTGGATACTCCACCTGTTGACTGAAGAACAGAAAGCAGTCAGGATTAATTGGCGTCAAAAAACGCTTGACCGTTTGAACTCCGGAAACTCAAAAAATGTGTACAGCATTGTTAGTGGTGATGAATCGTGGATTTACTCTTATGAACCAGAAAATAAACGACAGTCGACTGTTTGGGTGTTCCAAGGTGAAGAACAGCCAACAAAGGTCAACCGTTCTCGAAGTGTTTCGAAAAAGATGGTCGCGACATTTGTGTCAAAAGCAACAATTCCTCTTAATGAGCAAAGAACTGTTACTGCGGATTGGTATACCAGCATTTGTTTGCCAAAAGTCACCACCGAGCTTCGAAAAATCAACCCCGAAAGAAGAATCATCCTCCACCAAGACAATTCAAGCTCGCACACAGCCCAAGGAACAAGTCAGTATTTAACGGAAGAAAACGTGGAATTATTGGACCATCCTCCATATAGTCCCAATCTAAGTCCTAAAGATTTCTTTACTTTCCCGAAAATTAAAAACAGACTGTGTGGTCAAAGTTTCCAGTCACCAGAAGAAGCAGTTGACGCATTCAAAAATGCTGTTTTGGATCTGCCAGCAAACGAGAGGAATAAGTGCTTCGAAAATTGGCTCGAGCGCATGCAGATGTGTATTAATCGTGGAGAATACTTCGAAAAACAATGAAGTCATTTAAAACTACCTACCGTGTTGTTTTATTTCTATATGCAAAACTTAAAAAACATCTCTCGTCCCCCTCCTAATTCCGCACCTGTTTCTTTTTCATCCAGTTGAGGTTGTATAACTGGTTGCATATCTTTGCTGTTTTTGTAATTGTCAACCTAAAAATTTCCGAATGTTGACAATTTGATGAACGATGAAGATAAAAACAAGTAAATATTTGGTACAAATGTTATGTTTATGTATCTGTGGCATAAAAACCTCAGTTTGTAAGAGGACAAATCGATTGCATTAATATTACTAGATAAAATTGTGTAAACTTTCACAGTGATGAGTAGTCTTGGTCCATGGATAAACAATGCATAAACAAGATGTAAGTAGTTTTTTGAGCCTTTGTAACAGCTAAGAACTCTGAAAATTGTTTCAAAGACGTTTAGAGCTTATACCCAGATATATACAAGATTTGGAAAATAATTAATTGTGAATATTAGGCGTTTTTCATTTTTATTTATTTGTAGATATTTTATCAGCCCCCTGCTCCAGCCAGCCTGAGCAAAGACAAAGTGAGCATTTGGAATGCTTGGTGCTGTAAAGGGGACAAAGAAGTATCTCGAGAAGCTGCTACCAAAGGTGCAAAGCATGTAGAACTTGTTACACAGTTTTTATCTGCTAGGAGGAGAATAACATCTGATGAGGCTAATTCTCTATTAAAAAATGAGGTAAGTAAAGAGAGGTAGGGAATTTTGAATCAAATTTAACAATTTCCCGTCAACATGATCGATATGAGACTCATTGAAGCAACTTTTATTTGATTGAGTGTCAGGCACTGTTTTGTGTTTTGAATTTCGAATGCCCTGTATACTAAGGCAGAATATAAATACACTATTTTAGATCTAAAAAAGTTTAAAACAAACATCATATAAGTAACATATTTCACATATAAAATCTAGCTCAATCAATCAGCCAGTATATGCAGTATTTTTTATTTACCCAAAAACTGTACATAATAAAAATATGTGTACTGAAGGACCTGTGGAACCTTGAATGCACAGATATTTCTTGAGTCTGCTGGAGCATATTAGGAGGATCAATCAAAAATTTATGTTCATGAAAGAACTTAAGTTGTTCATCTCAAATACTTCTAGGCAAAACATACATAATATAATATCTGTGATGATTATATTAGGCCTCATAAATGTATTGAAATGGTTGTTGTGATGTCTATATACTTACTTTGTCTTTTTATCCATTTTTCTCTCTTCCTCTATTTCCGTTACAGAATTTTAATAACAGTTTATGTTATGTATTCGATGAATATGTCAGTTCTTTCCAAAAATGTAAAATTAACCGACTTAATACGATTTTAACGAATTTATATGCTTGTTTTAATCACACATTTTCAAATTACCGATTATGGATTACCTTAGGGATTTTATGGCCAATATTGTGAACCAGTTTTAGTCGAACTGTATTTAAGTGTGTGAACTATTTTTTATAGTGGAATACATGAATGACTGTTATTTTACTAATATTAGCAAATGGATGGGAAATTTCAAAAAATGTGCTGTATCCATATAAATAATATGAGTATCCATACCAGATTAATGTTTTTGTAATTTGTATAATCCCACACACAAGCTTGTTTGTGTAGGTTTCCTGTTTGTTTACCATTCTAAACTGTGTATGCTTCCATATTCATTTTACAATTTTATCTTTATTTTTGGTAAATAAACTTTACATAATTAACTGATTTGTCATACTTCTTGTATCAACTCGAGCTCTCCTGGAAAATTTTTAACACTGCAGCTATGTCTAAATATCTTCATAGAATATAAAAACTCGATTGAAAATTACTTTTATCCAAATACCAATTGGAGGATGAGACTGCAATGTTAGCTAAAGTGTCAGAGTGGCATCCTCAGATGACATTGACCATCTTTAAGTAGCTTTTTTTGAGATTCATACTGTGTATTCCCAAAGTTATTTTAACTGCTTGTAGGACTCGTCTAAGGCCCGTATCGTCAGTCAACCCTAGAATTGTACGGCGCCTTTATGGCCTCCTTGATTGTCATAGTTTTCTACTTCTCCGTGTCAGAACTCTATTTTGAGGTTATGTCACAAACATCTATTTGCATCAAATTGTGCTTGCTTTTGAGTTATATCATGTTTTATCAGCCTGAAATTTCCTACAATTTAAAAAGAAAACATATCTTCACAATAGGAGAGCGCTGACGCTGACACGGGACAAATGTAATCTAGAAATTTTTGAAGGAGAGAAAGGAGTATGACAATCAATGAGGCCATAAACGCGCCCTACGATTATAGGGTCGACTGACGATACGGGCCTAAAGGAGTTGATATTCCAAATATCACCTATACATATACAGGGTGACTATCACCTATTTTCTTTTATTTGATATGTTGTATTTTTACTATTTCTTTTATTATGCAACTTATACAGGGTGACGGGAAAATAGATGCGGAGCCGGTGGGGGGAGATAGTACAAGCCAATCTGAGTCGATTTTACTATAGGAACTACTGCCCAAAAATTAGCCGTTTTCGAATTATTTTTAAGATTTTATAAAATTAACGTCCTGTATACGTTAACCAAGTCATAAAACTTGAAAATTGGGTGTATCATTTGATTTTTTTTTGTTTTACAATAAAAATATTCTAAAATACGAAAATTGATACTCAAATGTGCATTATTGACGTTATCTCATGCAGTAAGCTTCAAAATAGTTCGATTTTTGTTAAGAAAATCTTCGTTCATCTCAAAAGCTTCAGTTTACTAGAGAAAGCCGCATACAAATTTTTCGTACAAAATAATTAGAAAACATCTACGTTTCATTGCCTTTCAAATGAGGTATAAAAATCACAAATCGATTAAGAATTGGCAAAAATATGACTATTATAAGAGGAGGAAGGAAAAAGCAATAAAAATACTACACTTACAAAATCATACCTTAATACAGGATAATTTGTTTGAAACTACATTTTTTTTTATTTTTATAAAACATTTTCAATATGGCGCCCTCTATTTCTAATGCACACACGTGCTCTTCTTATGACAGCTGATTTTACTACCGCCGAATTCCTAAGAGAGGCTTGAATTTCTTGTGCTGCATGTATTATCCTTTTTCTGAGGTCTTCTATTGTGGGTACAGGATTTTGATCAGAGTATACTAAAGTTTTCATGCGACCCCACACAAAAAAGTCCATAGATGTGAGATCGGGACTGCGTGCTGGCCATGGGATTGATCAGCCTCTACCGATCCATCGATTCGGAAACTGCTCATTTAACCAATTGCTACCACTTGGTCTGAAAAGTGCTGCGCACCCGTCATGCTGAAAAATCATCATGTGTCTTGTGTGTAGCGGCACGTCTTCAAGTAATAATTCAAATAGAACATTTCTTAAGAAATTTTCGTAGGCTTCTCCATTTAAGTTGTCGTGTAGGAAATGTGGTCCTACCAAACAGTTATTTATAATGCCCATCCAGACATTCAGACAAAATCGCCTTTGAGATCCTTTTGGTCTCTTTATATGAGGATTCCCCACTGCACGTTCACGCCAATAATGAGCGTTGTGGTAGTTTGTTATGCCGTCTTTATCAAATTTTGATTCGTCAGCGTTTAAAATAGAACGACAAAATTGCGTGCGCCCCATGGGATCTCCTTCCTCTATGTCGTGCACAGGTGTGTAGTGATAAGGGTGGAATATGTTTTCATGCAAAACATACCACACTTGCCATTGGGATAATCCAAGCCGTCGAGCCACAGCGCGAGTAGAGAGAGTAGGGTCTCTTTGAAAGTATTTAATATTTCTTCTTCTTCCACATCATGTCGAGGTCTACCTGCATCACCTGAAATAAAATTAAAAAACAAATAACAACAGTTTTTTGGAGGAAATTGTTTCCTAACAAACATAGCGGTAAGACTATGAGCTAGAGTTGGCAAAATATTATTTAGAAAAAACGATACACAACGTGTGGATGTTTCCATCTTCAGAGCCGTGTAGATGCTCGTGTTAAAATTAAATGAATAAACTCTTAATTAAGAAGTTCAATCAACTATGTTACAGTATCATCAGTTCAGCCCACAGACCTCCAAGGCTCTACATTACACTATTCCGATGTTCGCGGCTCTACCAGTTTCTTTCACTCATATCTTTGTCATTTCTAAACCGGTTTGTGACTTTGATACGTCATTTGAAAGGTAATGAAACGAAGATATTTTAAAATTGTTTTGCACGAAAAATTTGTAGGTGATTATTTCTAGTAAATTGAGTTTTTGGGATGAACGAAGATTTTTTTTAACAAAAATTGAACTATTTTGAAGCTTACTGCATGAGATAACGTCAATAATGTACATTTGAGTATCAATTTTCGTATTTTAGAATATTTTTATTGTAAAACCAAATGAAGCACCCAATTTTCAAGTTTTATGACTTGGTTAACGTATAAAGGACGTTAATTTAATAAAATCTTAAAAATTAGTATAATTCGAAAACGGCTAATTTTCGGACAGTAGTTCCTATAGTAAAATCGACTTAAATTGGCTTGTACTATGTCCCCCCACCGGCTCCGCATCTATTTTCCCGTCACCCTGTATAAGTTGCGTAATAAAAGAAATAGTAAAAATACAACATATCAAATAAAAGAAAATAGGTGATAGTCATTCCTCATTAGGTTTCTATTGGGTATTTCAAAACATGAACAAGACATTGACATATATGTGTCACTTAAATACACATTTTTCAGGTGCTGGCTTGGGTGAAGGAGCTACTAGATCGAAAGCAGATTTTCAGAATCTCACATATTCTCAATAATATTGGCATCGATCCGAACACCGAACTACAAAACGTCTTTTATACCACTGCAGACAGTGAACTCAGAGAATACATAGGCAATCATTTGAAAAATTTAAAGAAATTAGATGAAAGATTATCGAACCTGTGGCATTTCTTAGACCTTGTTTTAAAAAATAATGCTTTGGTTTCGAAGCAAAAACTGAGCAAAGATAGTATTGAGTGTCTAGAAAATCAGGATAGTGAATGGAAGTCTGAGATAGCTGCCAAGTTATTTTTACGAACTTATGGTAAGTATATTTTTTATGTATATGTATAAAAGATAATTTGGTAACAATAAAGAGTATTCGTTAACATCTCAATATTTTTTCAGATACAGTTTTGGTATATTTTTTTAACGAGAATGCTCTTTGGAAACAACTAATATTTTACAATGATGTAAAGCTGTTGAAAATGTGGATTCAAATCAGGTATAACAACATTGAAGACAGTGGAGCTCCAGACAGCTTGAAGAATGTGTTTGAAAGATTTCCTATCACAACAGAAATGGTGAACCAGCTGAATACCTCCGAAGCGTTTGCTAACACAAAAAAGACGATTTTGAATGGTCTGAGTTGTTATGGAATCTTTGCCGATGAAGATAAAAGTTGCCTCTTAAAATTACTTCACAGAATGAATGAAGCCGGAATTGTTCAAAATACTTACGAAATAATTGAGAAACAAACATCAAATCTCGATCAACACGTTTTTCTACAGCTGCTAGTAGAGTACTGTACGAAAAATAAGCTTTTTCCAGTACTGAGTAGTTGTGTTGAAAGGCTTGATATTTCTGAAGAAAATAAAGATCTCTGTGAAGATATTTCTTTAATATATTCTCTAAGAAAGTTGAATTTCTCAGATAGAATGATATTACGTGATAATATTTTTTATGTTGCTAAATTTTTATCAAACGATTTAAATAATTATTTCAAAGAAAATCCTTTAATTCTGCTGTCTATAATTGTTTTTACTGAAGATCTAGATTTTGAAAATTTAATGCAGGCATCATCTCTCAGTCTTTTTGATACAGACCTACTCCCTGCCTTAAAACATTTGCTAGGAAACTTTAGAATACTGAAAGCTATCTATGAATATAAAAAGGTATTGATAGAGAGCAATGTCACTTATTTTGACCTACTAGAGAAACATACGGGTGTTGACACAAAAAGCTTATTTCACGCAGTTCCAATGCCCAATTTCACTACATCAGAACTAGTAGAATCATATGGTTACCAGAAGAAAATCAATTATCTCTTTTATGTGAGAGAACAAAGGCCAAGCATAGCTGCCAAGTTGTTCTTACTAGAACATTACAAAGAATCAACTATTCTTCCTGAAGATACTGTTCGTTATGTTCAAAAGAAGATATTTACCATAGCCCTGAGAAACTTTAACAGCTATGAGATTCCTTCCAGTTGTATATCCTTCTTAGAAATGGTAGGAATCAACTCCAACTTTTTGAGAGTAGCGGTAACAGCGGCACATGTGTTATACGAATCGACAGGGAACTTTGATTATGTTTTGAAGTTGTTTCTGAACATTGAGAAAGATGCCCACAGTATTTTGAACAGTTTAGAAGAATGTATCTTAGAAAAAATTAACTTTGAGTTTACCAATGGCGCAGCTTTTGTCGGTAAGTTATTTTTCCTATTATATGTACAGTAGCGGACAAAAGTTTGGAAACAAATATTAATATTAATTATTTATTATATTATTAATAACATTAAAGTTAGAAAAAAGTTATGTGAGGCTATTATATTTCCTAGCTTATTTTACTGTAGCACTGTGTTCTATCATTGTCTTGATTCTATCACAAAAGCAAGACTCCAAAAACTCCAAAATACTTAATAATAATAATGTCTTTATTTCCCTCCACATTGCGAGGCAAAGTTTAGCCAGCGGGCTACTCTACCACTTAACCTCACAGCGCAGTAACACATACAAAAGGAAAAACATAACAATGAATAGCAATCGACTAAACAATATTTTCAATAATTAAGCTTAAATAGATTAATCTTAATATGTTGTACATCTATTCCACATAGCCCGCTCTAACAAAAAAAAAAAACAATAAAGGCAAAAAAAATAAATATATCAGCCAGCTTGGCTAGCAGACCCCAGAAGGTTAATGGCTCTCTTGAAAGCAAGTATTCCCATCTTTTTGTAATTGTCATTAAGACTATTGTACACCTTGACAGCGTTGTAGGTGCAGCTACAATGGAAAATGTTGCTCCTATAACTAGGTATATGGAAGTCAAAGTTATGTCTCAGATTCCTGTAATTGAGATCCCCACGTGGTACCAGTCTTTTTAGTAGATAAGTAGGTAGCCTATTGATTTTTATTCGTTGTACTAAAATTAGTAAGTTATATGTGAAAAGCTGGTCAACCCTCAACCATCTAAGCTCATTGATCTTCTTAGACACATGGCTAAAGTTTCGCAGACCACAAACGAACCTACAGCAGCTATTTTGAATTTTTTGTACTCGATATCTAGTCACGTAATCAAGACAAGGAAAGTAAACAGCAATTGAATAATTTATTAACGATAGAACCAGAGTCTCAGCCAGTTTTTTGCGAGTCTTGAAATTCAGAATATGGCGATTGGTGTATAATAACTTCAAACGCATGTATGTTAAGCGAGATAAATGCGTAACATGTTGTTTAAACCTCAAATCTGAATCCATGGTGATCCCTAAATACTTTACATGATCTACTATACTTGTTGCCGATTTGTATTTAATCTCAAGAAGTATGATCATGTTCCCTTAAAGAGATTTCAGCTTGGTTGGATGTGTATAGAAAATGCATGCAAGTACCATATAGCAGTGTTTACACATAAGATCATATATTCTCGCTCCCCTTGTATCTTTATGAGAAATTTGTTTGCAGACGAAGTAATTCAGACATTGATTTATAACGAATTAGATGACAATATAAAGAATTGGCCAGTAAACAGATTTCGTAAGCATGTGAAACAGATTTATTTGTCATTGTAGTAATTGTGGAAAAGTTAGTTTTCAATACTTATATTTTATTTTCTTTTTACGTAATATATGTGTGTATATATGTATACGTGTATGTATAGCAGCCAGCTATCAAGTTCGTTTGTTTTGAAGCGTCTTTAGCTGCTTGTCAAAGCTTCCTTTGATTAAGTGTTTCAATTTATTATTTGGGTAGGTAAAGTAGAGTAGCCAAGAGCTAGACTTCGCCTACGTAGAGGTCACATTATATTGTGGTTTTTATAATGTGCTTAATAAAGACATTTTATTATTATTTTAATTAAAATAAGAGAAATACGCAAAATGTCGAACCTTCCTATTAAGCACGGTGGAGGCAACATCATGGTTTGGGGCTATTTTTCTAGTTCTGGAACGGGTCCAATTGTTAAAATTGTTGGGAAAATGGATCCAAAACTTTACAAACATATTCTTACTAAACACTTGCTCCCTTTTGCTGAAGAAGAAATGCCTTTACGATGGACAGTCCAGCAAGATAATGACTCCATGCACACCTCAAAATTCGTAAAGGATTGGTTAAAACTAAAACATGTTAATGTTCTTACATGGCCTTCGCAATCCCCGTACCTAAACAATATAGAACATCTCTGGGAGCATGTTAAAAGACAACTGACAAGAAAAATAGGAACGATTTGTTTGATTATGTAAAAAATATTTTGCAAAATATCCCAACAGACGTCTGTAAAAAATTGCTAAAGGCTATGCTACCAAATATTAACTACACAGTATTTTTTAAATCTGTTTGTAGAGTTATTGTATTTAATTTTGTAATAAAACATATGTTTTCATACTTTTGTCGTCTCATTTTTGGTCATAAAATAATTATATATATATATATATATATATATATATATATATATATATATATATTTTAATGCTAGTCTGTAGTACCAGTAAAAAATTAGCGCACTTTTTAAAAATTACTAAGAATGTTCCCAAACTTTTGTCCGCTACTGTACATACCCAGAGACATTAGAAGTGTTACACTCAGAAAAAATAATTTCTTCAACTTGATTTTTTGGCAATCAGGTAGACTTACATCAAGAATGAGACGATAATATTCTCACGAAATTTTATTGACAAGTAATAAGAAAAAAATTAATAATGTGTTGATCGAACGCCTGCTTCTTGAAGAAAGTCCGTAGTGCGACGTGCGATGTATTTTCTTTTTTCTATTATTATTATTACGTGGGCCCCCGATAATCCGGCCCCTGTCTAATCCGGCGCCCCCTGTAATCCGACATGTCTTTGAATATGTATTACATACATACGTATTTGACAATCTTCGCCAATGTAGATCACGCAGGTTTGAACTGGTTACAACAAGAGACAGACACTCAAGAAAGCTGAATATCCAGAGGTGGAAGAAGCTTTGTACATGTGGTTTCTTCAGGAAAGAAATAGGCATGCTCCAATTTCAGGACCCATGTTGGCCATGAAAGCTAAGTTTTTGTATAAGGAAATAACAAAAAAAGATGATTTTGTGGCCAGCAAAGGATGGCTAGAACGTTTTAAAAGTCGTCATGGCTTACGTTTAATGACTATTACAGGAGAGAAACTTTCTAACGATGCCACCTGCATAGAGCCCTTTAAATTAAGATTTTTGCAAAAGGTGAACGATTTAAATCTTGACCCGTCACAGGTGCACAATGCAGACGAATCAGGGCTTTTTTGGCATGTGATGCCTAACAAAACTTTCATTTCTTGTAAATGTAAGTAAAGAGCGTGTAACCATACTACCATGTGCTAACGCTGCGGGCACACACGCGCTTAAGAAGATAGTCATTGGGAAATCTAATAAACCACGGGCATTCAAAAACATAGATTTACCTGTACACTATTACGGACAAAAAAGTGCATGGATGACAAAAGACATTTTCAAAAAGTGTTTTGATGAATGCTTCGTACCTGAAGTTAGAAAATTGTTAAAAGATCATAATTTTCCTCAAAAAGCGTTGTTGCTTCTTGATAATGCTCCCGGTTATCCGTCTGAAGAAGAACTAACAACTGAGGATAAATGCATCACTGCGATGTTTCTTCCGCCAAATTGCACTGCACTGATTCAACCAATGGACCAGAATATCATTCAATTAGTCAAGCAAGACTATAAGAATAACCTACTTCTGAGAGCCGTATCAAAAGGCCAACCAATAGAAAAAGCTTTAAAATAATTTAATATGAAAGATTTGGTTTTTGCTCTTTGTCAGTCGTGGAATGCGTTACCGTCATCAACTAATGGTACATCCTACTACGAACTTTTACTTTTGAGAAGACTGAGGGACAAAGCTATGATCTCGCGTTATAACAACCTTAAACAAAAATAAAATGATGAATATTTCCAAGCTTCATAATTTGATAAATTCATTAATGATTTTGATTAATAATTCTTGATTATTTTGGTACATATGTATGTGCATTTATGATTAATTTTATAATAAAACGTAAGCTCTCTATTGTTATTTAATTTACTAAATTCGACATACATAAACTATGTATGATTTGTACTTCAAAGTACATACATATACATAACATATATAATCTTACCAGTGGATATGTAATTTGTTGGATTACGAGGCACCCTTTTGTAAAAAATTCCGGACTATAGGGGGTCTTAGGCAGTGCTCTATAATCCGACAAACTCGATAGTCCGACACTGTCCTGCATAATGTTCGTCGGATTACCGGAGGTCCACTGTATTGTGAAGGTTTTTCGAAATTTCAATCTTTCAGAACTCAAATGCGACAGTAACCCAAAGAAGGTCCTTAAAAACTGATAGTGATACAGTTTTTATTGTCTCCTTAAAGATTCAAATTATGGAACGTACGAGGTTTTTGCACTGACCGATTCAATTTTACAGTATCTTTATTGTAATGAGAGGTAAAAGTGTGATGATAAAATTCAAATAATTTTTTTTACAGATGCTATTAAAACCTATAACATAGTAGTGAAATTCGCGACCTGCTACAACCTCAAACTACCCGAAATGTTCCTGACAGCATGCGCAAGCAACAACTGGTGGCTTTCTTTCCTGACATTCGCCCAGCTGAATAATTATCCCATAGAGCAGATAAAACTGGCTGTTCAATCCTTCAGAAATGCGAATTTACTGGAACACGTGAGCCACAGCGTAATGCACGACATCCACGTTGACGATCAGAGCATTCTGATGCGCGAGAGAGACTCGAGAAAATACCTTTTGTCTAAGATAGGCTTGAGGAAGAGTATAGACAGCCTGAATCAGAGCGAGTCGTACTCCGGTGTTACATCGCATTCGAGTCATGGCAGCACAAATTCAAGTTCTGCGGGTTCGGATTTGTTGGAAATTGACATTTCGAACACAAAAGCGACGTTGCTGCAAACGCTGATCAGGTGTCACAACAGCACAGATCCGCCAAGAGCGCTGTTGCAGGCTTGCCAGTTATACAAGAATCCATTGCTGGCAGTTTTTGCTACCAGCTATGAGGTAAGATGGTCCATAATTCTAAAATACTCAACTAATAGTATGTTTGCTGTTGAGGGAGTCTAATAGCAACTCAAAATAAACAATGCAAATACAGGGTGGCCAATGTATAACTGACACGCATTTTAGTAGGTGGTAGTTGTGTCAAATTCGTCATGGAGCGCTACACGATCCCACAACGTATCCGTATTGTTAAAACGTTTTACTTAAATAACACTGGTCAACAAAATTTTAACTTTGTCGTGCCACACGGACTTTTTTGATATTTTTTACTTTAATTGGTGATTGTAAGAAAAAATAAACAGTTAAAAAAATTTGCTAGACAAGGATTTTGTTCTATTGAGTAATTTAAAATATTAAGAAAAAACACAGATCTCGTAAATCAAAAGTTATTTTTTTTATAAATGACTAATCTAAGATTTTCTTGAATATTTAGCTTCTGGTTGGTCCCTTTTAATTGTTCAGCAGTAATCTGCTAACATATTTGGGCTCCATTTGCCCTGGTACCGCTTTTCCATATTAGAAATGTCCTGATGGAACCTCTCACCATGCTCGTCGCTGACAGCCCCTAAATTGTCAGGAAAAAATCCAGGTGCGAGTCTAAAAAATGGATCTTAAGTGACATGTTGCAACCCAATGCTTGATATGACAATAATAGCTCGCTAACCAACTCTCTGTAGCTGTCACTCTTGTGGTTACCCAAAAAATTTGAAACAACATTTTTAAAAGCCTTCCATGCAGATGTTTCTAAATCGCTTAATTTTTCTTCAAATCTTGAATCTTTTATTAACTCCCTAATTTGAGGGCCAACAAAAATACCCTCTTTTATCTTTGCATCACTTATTTTAGGGAATTTTTCTTTTAGATACAAAAATCCACTCCCATTGCGATCCATTGCCTTCACAAAATTTTTTATTAATCCTAATTTGATATGCAATGGTGGTAGAAGCACATTATTTGGCTGTACAAGGGGTAAATACTTTACGTCTTTTTGCCCAGGAACTAACGATGCACGCGTAGGCCATGTTTTTTTTATATAGTGATTAGTTCTGTCTCGGCTATCCCATTCACATAAAAAGCAGCAAAACTTTGTATAACCCAGCTGAAGTCCAAGTAATAGTGCAACAACTTTAAGATCACCGCAGATTTTGAAGGAATATGTACTGTAATTTATTTTTTCAAGTAAAAGTTTCATATTTTCATAGGTTTCTTTCATATTTGCAGCATGGGCCAGAGGTACAGACGGAAGCTTATTTCCATTATGCAATAACACTGCTTTCAGACTTGCTTTCGAAGAATCAATGAATAAACGACACTGAGAGAGATCAAAATCTATGTCCAACATTTTCATAATCTCATTTATGTTATTGCAAAACACCAAATCTCCATCCTGAGAAAAATACGTTCTGAAGTGTTGATCACGGTTTCGAAAATAGCTAACTTTTGTATTATGATGTAGCAAATTCCATTCTTTTAGACATGATCCTAATAGTTCTGACTGCTTTTTTGACAAATTTAAATTCCTTTTAACTCAAATTCATCGTCCTGGTCAACACGTTCACCTGAAGTGGACGGTTGTGAATTGTTCTCAACAGACGTAGTTGCAACTGGTATTATAATGAGAGACTGGTCTTATAGCCGAAGATAAGTTAGGGTAAATAACTGTGGTTTTTTTCTTGTAATTTATACCTTTTATGTTTGTGAGACAAAAATAGCAATCTGAAACGTGATCTCGCTGTTCAGTCCATATCATGGGTACAGCAAACGACATAGATCGTGCACCTTTCTTCCAGTCAGTTACATTTTTCACACACGTTATGCAACAGACATGAGGGGCCCAGGATTTGTCTTGATGGGCGACAGAAAAACCAAAACATTGCTGATAACACTCCAACACAAGATTCGTAAAATTTCGTCGTAGTTTTTTGAATGTTAGTTCTCCGCAGACATAACAAAAAGAGTTAGGATCATTATTACACTTCCTCGACATATTCACAGGGTTAATAAATCACAAAAAAGTGTTATAATTCAACAACAAATATTTTTATAAGGATTTACTTGTAAGCGTTTCTGTTAATTTACTGCCGTAGTACTAGTTATGAGTATTACCGTATCACAACAAATATGAGGCTAATAGACATATGACAGCTGTCATGTAATAATGAGGGTAGACTGATAAAACAAAATTAGCTGTCAAAGTTCGTGTGGCAAAACCAGTGTTGACCAGTGTAATCAGTCGATTGTTGCAACGACTCTGAAGCTACGACAAGATTTAGGACGAATTAATGTGCCCAGGATCAACACCATTCTACAGTTGGTGGGGAAATTTGAACAAACAGGTGAAGTTAAAGTCTTGCCAAGGTCGGGCCATGTTCGAACTTTTCGTACTCCGGAAAATATCAAGAGAGTTCGTGAAAGTGTAGTTGAGCGCCCTGAGACGTCTACCAGACATCGTTCTCAGTAGCTGGGTATTCGTCGCACGCAGGGGCGGCTGGCCCTTAAGTTCTGCAGAACTGCCAATACTTTTGTCTTAACAGAAAAAAGCAGGTGTATTTGATCATTATTTATTTTCCATGTTATCACACAAATAGAAACAATACCGGCCTGCCCCCGCAAGACACGGCGTCGAGTCTGTTTTGTACTGAGAAAGCATTATAATCGACCAATTATGTACTTGTCATTTTCGTCGCGACCGCAACGTACTATAACATTATTCATGGGCCACTTGGAAAAGGGTCTGTGCACTATTTCGACGCGCTTGCTTTTGTCTCTCTCTACAAAATCACATGCGCGATTTAAGCATAAGCATGTGCTGCAATTTATACAGATCCGTACAGATCTAATGCGAAGTACGATATCTGATTGGTCGATCGGTGCTGGGTCCTCGGCGGTATTGGCAAATTGGCCTTGTCGCGTGACGTGGCTTAAAATTTGAATGCGTAAAAATTTTTATTTAGGTATTTTGGGTCTTACGTTAAGTGACTAGTGACTCACTGACTGACTGTGGCTGTGTAGAAGGGTAGTGCAAGACAATGCATGTAGTTTACAGACTTATAAGCGTGAAACGATTCTGAAAATCTACATTTGAAGAAAAAATTGAGCTGAAAGTGGCAGGTCGACCGCTGCGGGACTTATTTATAGAAACACAGGGCGTTAGTCGGGGCAAGGGCTATACGCGGCATTTCAGCAGGGAGATTTACAACAGAAATGACTGGATTTGTGCGTGCAACAGGAAGAATGCCCTTTTCTGTTTTCCTTGCATACTTTTCGGCGGTGACAAAGCTTGGACGGGGGTAGGTGTTACAGATTTAGTGCACCTGAGTGAAAAAATTATGAAGCATGAAAACTCTAAAACACATCTTCATAATTCGATGAAATTGGCTTTATTGGGGACTGTTAACATCAGAGCTCAGTTAGATTCAGCATATTGGAGAAATATACAACAGCATAATGATACCGTTACAAAAAACAGGTACGTTCTATCAAAAATAATCGATTGCATAAAATTTTGACGAGCATTTGAATTGGCGCTACGAGGCCAAGACGAAACCGAGAGCTCCCAAAGCCCGGGAATATTTCGTGGACTGATTAATTTTTCTGCTGAGCTTGGTACAACCTTAAGCGAACACATAAAAAATGCTTCAATATTTAACGGAACTTCGAAAGAAATACAAAACGATCTACTGGATTGTATTCTTGAAGTTTGTCATGAAGAAATAATAAAACAGATTTACAGAGCCTCGAATTTGGCGATAATAGCAGATGAAAAAACGGACATTTCGGGGAAAACCCAACTGGTAACAATTTTCAGATACGTATTTAACGACGAACCAGTAGAACGTTTTTGGAATTATATGAATCCCGAAAAATGTGACACTGATACTCTCACAAGACATATTTTGAGCGTCGTAGATCAATTAATAGGAAATTTCCCTAACAAACTGATTTCACAAAGCTATGATGGAGCCGCGGTAATGAGCGGACATAATGCTGGAGTACATGCAAAAATTAAACAAAGATATCCATTTGTTCACTATGTGCATTGCTATGCGCATCAGTCAAACCTGAATATGTCCCCAGCTGCTTCCGCAAAGTTCGGGTGTTCTTTGGGGATTTGAAAGATATTCCGGGATTTTTTAATAATTCTCCTCAACGCGTAGAGGTACTGAACAGAATTGTGGGGAAAAAGTCCGCAAGGAGCAACAACTCGTTGGAATTTTAATATTCGAACAATAAATGTAGTGTTTGAGAACCGAGAATCACTCATTGAATGCAAGGAAGAAATAGAAGAAAATTTCACTAATGAAACCGTTTGCAAGGCAGCTTGCGGTATTCGCCGTATGTTGAACGATTCTGTTTTCGTGTTTTGGTTGACATTTTTTCATCATGTCATGCCTCACGTCGACATCTTGTTCAACCAGTTGCAGAAGAAAAAAACCGAGCCAGCGCAAGTTAAAACGGCTATCGATAATTTTGAAAAATGTATTGTCGATGTGAGAAATAAAATTGATGACATAATAAATGAAGCCAAAAGTATTTGCACTGAATCCCAAGGCAACAAAAGGAGGCGACGTAATAATAGCAGTCACGATCACCGAGTTGCTGCATTAGAAGTATGCGACAATATAGTGAATTTTGCAAATGACAGATTTCAATTCAAAGATCCCTTTTTTCCCCGAACACTTTAGAGAATACTGTGGTAAGTTTCCTGATGACAAGTTGGAAACTACCTGCTTGGCTTATCCCGAATTAGAAAAAAGTCGTTTAAAGACACAGATGTCTGTTATTTATGCACGGAATGATTGCCGAGATTTACATGGAACTCTGTCTCTTTTGAAATTTACAAAATAGTTTGGAGGAAACACTAAAAGAAACAGAAAAGCTATTGGAAATTATTGTTACAACTCCTATGTCAACCTCAGAGGCTGAGCGAAATTTCTCAACATTGAAAAGAATCAAGACCTTTCTTCGTAATACTATGACCCAGGATCGCCTTACAGCGTTGTCGATGCTGTCCATTGAAAAGGAATTTATTTCGACCATGGAAAATTTCAACGGGAAGGTGATCGACAAATTTGCTGCCAAGAAGGAGCGCAGGATCGAACTGACATATAAAAAATAGGTAAGTTCGGATTTGCAGAACACCTGTTTTATTTTTCCACGAGCCGCCACTGGTCGCACTTCATTGTGTACTATTTTGAAAAGACTTGCATTTGCGGCCATCCAGTTAACCCAAGAACTATAGCCTAGTGACCATGAAAGTAGCCGACAATACAGTCATGCAATATTGCAGCTTAATACCCAAATTAACGATTTTTACCGACAACTGATAATGAGCGATGAAGAACAATATTACGAAAGCGATTGAAAATGTTCCTCCTGAAACCTACCAAAAACGTGATGAAAAATGTAATCAAGAGGGCTCAGAGGCGGACATTTGTCTAACATAATTTGTAAGTTTGAATAAAAGATTTAGATGAAAAAAATGGTCGTATCTTATTTTGTTTCACAAATATTCAAGATACAAACCAGTCAGTTACATATCGGCTATCCTACATTCATTTAGAAAATCAGGTTTGGGTGTAAAATGTAAGTGCGAAAAGATCGCAATTTCTGCTGAGCTATAGAACTGAGAGTTACTCCATTATTCAACTTTTTCACCCGACAATTTTTAAAACATTTATTTACAATTTAGTTCTTTTTCAATTGAAAAATTTTCCGTCCTGTCTGATATTAATTCTAACTAGTTTTTGCAATCTATTTGCGAGTTACATTGAATACCTTTCTTATTTCAGCCTGATTCGGTGGTGACAAACTGGCTTACTTGGCTAGCAGTTTCCTCGGATTTATGTGAAGCTTTCACTAACTACGAGACCGTTGCATTTTGTTCACATTCTGTGATGACGTTACTCAATAATTGTATGAAGCATCAATTCCCAAAGACCATACTCGAAAGCTTCGAAATATTCCTTCCGGTAAGTTAGAAATCTGATTTCCCAAAATAATTAACTTGTCTCATTTAGCGTTGTATCATTTTGTATACTGGCTTTTCAGTCGCTGGTAACTCTAACCTGGAAGTTAACTATCAGATACCCGGAAATGCGTTGCTTTTACGCTCAGAAGTATTGTAGCCCAGGCTACAGAGAGAGAAAAAATATATATTTCGTATTTGATGATGTTAAATTAGTTAGACTTAATGGAAATATATTATTTTTTACTTTATAAATGAATATAATTACAAGATATTTGATGAAATTTTTTGCATCGAGCCATTTTAATTTGCTAAGCATTTGCCTAATTGGAGTATATGAATCTTTATTCAGTATTATTCTCATGCAGTTATTTTGTAAAATTCAGAGACTTTCAAAAATGAAATTATTTGCTAAATATAGAATAGTCGAACAGTACCAGAAATTTGGAAGAGTGATGGTATTATAGATAATTTTTCTGCTATATGAACTCAGACATCCAGAAACTCTCGATAAATATCCCACTTTACTACTAATCTTATTTATAACTTTTCCATAATGAATATCAAAAATTAATCGAGAGTCAACAAAAACCCCCAGGTATTTAAAATTTTCTACGAATTCAATATCTTCACCATCAATATTCAGTTGAACATTTGCACATTGTTTTTTTTCCGATTAACACAGCTTTCGTTTTACTTGTATTTAATTTTAGCCTGTTAGATGCTAGCAATTTTGAGACAAGTTTCATTTATATAAGAGATACCATTCTGAATATTTTTAGTACATATATAAATCATAGTGTCATCGGCGAAAATCTGAATTTTGCATTTTTTGACTAGGGCAGGCAAATCATTTATGTATAAAATAAAAAGAAGTGCTCCCAGAATACTGCCCTGCGGAACACCTAACATATTTTCAATTTTTGATGAAATAGTGTCATTAACTTTTGTAATTTGCATCCTTTTAGACAAATAATTTACCTAACAGATATTTCTCTATAAATCGTTTCGAATGCCCTCTTCAAATCCAAAAATATTGCTATGACAACTTCTTCTTAGTCTATGGCTCTTCTCCAATGCTCAGTTACCAACTGGAAAGCCGTTTCTGTGGAATATTTTTTTCGAAAGCCTGCTTGCGCCTCCACTAAAATTTTGTTTTCTTCTATAACTGCATTAATTGGTCATGCACTATGGACTCTAATAATTTTTTAAAGTCCGGTAACACATTTGAAAAAAGTATACTGCACAAGCTTTATACAAAACTAATAAGACCGTGGACGCCTATAATAACTTCAAATCGCTTAGAAACCGTGCTCTTAACATGATCAGAAGGTACAAAAAGACATATATCGAAAAGTTGGCAAATGAAAATGATTCAAAAAAATTGTGGAAGTCTCTCAAACAACTTGATATAAATTTTCGTAGTAAACCAACCCTTCCGGCAAGTTTTAATGACCCTACCAAAATTAATGATTATTTTATGTCTGTTTATAGCTATAAACCTGTTAATTCACTAGTTTGCGAATACTATTTCAAAAATAAATTAAGCTCTGAATATATTTTTTCATTGAATAAGATTAGTTCAAATGACGTATTACAGGCAATAGGGAGCCTAAAATCTGATGCGAAGGGAATTGATGGTATATCCCTGTCAATGATCCAGCTTTGCCTGCCAGTTATTCTCCATCACATCGTCCACATCTTTAACGACTGTTTGGAAAAAGGCTACTTTCCAAACACATGGAAACAAGCTCTAATTATTCCAATTCCTAAAAAAATGAAACCCACTGAGTATAATGATCTCAGACCTATCAGTTTATTACCAATTTTATCCAAAATTTTAGAAAAAATTATAAAGTTCCAATTGACCGCTTACCTAGAAAAATTCTTTATACTTCCCGACACTCAATCCGGTTTTAGAAAAAATTATAGTACATCTGCCCTACTTAATCTGCAAGACAATATTTTAAGTGCCTTAGATAAGAAAATGGCACTAGCCTTAATCTCTATAGACTATTCGAAAGCATTTGACAGCATCAATCATAAATTATTACTTGCTAAACTAAATTACATAGGTCTTGACAGTGTATCCCTTTCATTTTTCGACAGTTACCTTCATCAAAGAACTCAGTGTGTTTCTCTCAATCAAGAAATGTCTCAAGTGACAATAATTTATTGATAATTCTCATGTCCAGTCATTTGCAGACGATACGCAATTGCTCCATTATTTTAACCCAGATAATGTCAATAGTACTACTCAAATTTTACAAAACGATGTTAATAAATTAATTAAATACTCTTTATATTGTTTCTAAAATTCCACATCTCTTCGCATTTCTCTTCAAAACACATTAAAAATGTATCCGCATCACTGTTTGGTGAACGGTAAAAAGTACAAAGATCATAACGTTTCCCAAATAATTTGAACTGTATATGTGCATACCAGTATGCATAGTCTAAAGTGGTACAATCGAATAATCTGACCTGTATTTTGTGGTAAACATAAATCACTCCACCTCCAGTATGTCTGGAGTTGGAGTTGCATCTGTAGGTTTTATAATTAGTAATTTGTAATTCACCATGAGTGGTGTCTTATGTAGCATGTGTTTCGGTAAGACATAATACAAGTGGTTTTCTCCATCTTAAAAACTGTTTAAATTCATCTATATTCAATTTTATAAATAATCGGTAAACTGAAGATTTTAAAGCATAAAAAGACATTCAATTTTATTTTTTTATGAATTAAAATGGATAAACAAGCTAAATACGGGGCTTTCTAGCAATATTGAATAGATGTATTTCACTTTTGTAAAATGTTCTGGAACCATATCTTGGGCAACAGTTTAAATAATTCGTCTCTAGGATAAACAATTAGCTTTTTATATAAACTATTAAACCGATCCGACTGAAATTTAGCACGCTTATTAACACCAATGATACCCTCATTTTCAAAAAAATTTAACCGTTTACAATTGTTATTGCAATAGTTATAAACATTTATTCAATATTGCTGGAAAGCCCCGTATTTAGCTTAATTGTTTATCGATTTCAATTCTTAAAAAACAGAATTGAAGCTGTTTTTAGGATTTAAGATCTCCAGTTTACCGGTTATTTATAAAGTTTAATTTGAGAATTAGATAAGCAAAATACTGAATTTTGGGCTTTTCCCATTGTTTAAAAAAACAACTGATATCTGGATGTATCTTTTTATGTATTTGTCATTAGAAACTTTTTTTTTACTTTTTTTATCTAACCTGAACTGTTGTGTTCTGTGCGTTTTATAAAGTTCGGACTTTGTGTCCCGTATCACTTATTTATACCGAAAAGCAGCCGCGCAGACAAAAGCCTTAATACCAGGGCAGACAAGAGTACCCGTGCTACGGTCTTATGCCTAAAGACTGCTTTCCGCATAATGTAGGGAACCTTTTAAACTGACGGCACTGGGGCATTGGGGGGACGTCCATGATCCAAGATCTTGACAAGCACTTCCTTCTCTGTCAAGTGAAAAAGATTAGTCATCATTAGTTAACCCATTGATGGTTCTATGCTTAAGGTGAACTACCGTTTTAGTACAAACTTGAACGCTTTGTTGAACTCAACTTCCGCTTAACATTAATGCGACTTGCGATTGAAAAACCGGGCCTAAGTTGTCCATCCTGAAGAATATTCTTTATTTTATTACAGACAAACGGCCTGACTAATTTTTTGCAATTTCTCAACATGTGCATCAAAGAAGAATACGATATACCCCCTCTAACCTCCAAACTAGAAGCATTCAAATCATCTTTGGATAAGTGCAGGCGCTCCAGTGTTTTTAACGAAAACGATCGTGAAATGACATACTTGAGCAACAAAGTTTGGTTAGAACAAACGGCGCTGTTACTACTTTCATCTGCGATAGAATACAACGTGTATTCTCTTTACGAGCAAATCGGAATGTTGAAGCTTTTGGAGGAAATAAAAATAGGATCGTACCTAAAATGCCCTGATATCACCAACCTGGTCAAAATGCTGCAGATTGTCCTGGATACAAAATTGGCAGTTAAGTTTGATATTCCACTGTATTTCAAGAAGAACGGGAGACAGGCTGTCATAGACTGTATATCGATGCTTTTAGATAAAGAGCTATTTGAACATGCCTTGAAGATAGCGGAAATAGAAGGTCTACCGAAAGATCTTATAATAGTGCGTGAATGGCACTACAATTACCAGAATCAAAGAAATAATCCTAATCTTTGGACTGATGCCGATAGTGAATTTTCAAAACATAGCATCACTGCAGATTGCGTGGTAGAGTTTTATTTGGAATATTCTGATAAATCGAATGATAATGCTGAAAGGTATCAGATTTTGAAGCTAGCATACAACTGGGCAAAAAAGTTCGAGCTTTCTAATGAGTATGAGTTGGAGTGTGAAAAATGGCTGGCCTACGTTCTGATTTTTGACAAGAAGGAAATAGACACTGATGAGATTGAAGACAGCTTTCCTGTGAATGTCACCTACAAGGAGATGGTAGAAAAGCTGGAAAAAGTGCCGAAACATGACGAATCTCTACCTACAGATCAAGCGAACATTATCAAAACATTGATTAACACCAGTTTGAATAGGGGAAATTTTTGGCTAGCACTGAAGTTGGAGAAAATGTTCAGAAGTTCAAATACAGACCTGGACATTCTGAAGCTGTGTTACAGCCTAGCTGAACATTTAGTGTCTCCATATCAGCTGAATACCGAACAAAGGCTTTTACTCACTAAGGGATCTCAATACAGAAGGTTGAGTAACAGGAGAAACTTACTATCTTCTAGGACTTCGACAGCTAGTTTGAGTGAGTACTTTCGTCTAAGAATATTGTATACTAAGTGACATATCAAATGCAACACCCAGAATTATTTGATGAATTTTGATAAAAATTTGTAAACATTTTTGCTATCATGGAAGGATTTTTTGTCAAATCAGGATGAACATGTTTACTTAGTATTCAGTGATTTTTCTGTGTTGGTTCCATTCGCTTCGTTGTTGTTTCATCGCATTATCGTGCCTAGAGTTCGCAAACGCGCTAATTTCCGAGAAGAGCTTCAACAAATTATTAACATTAAGCTGGGATATATCAGCTATTTCGAGTTAAAGTTTTAATCACTGTCTATTTATCAGTAGAGCTAAAACTGGTGAAAGTATGCTCAAAATTACAGCACTCCTATTACAGTCGGTGTTGCATTTAGTATATTTATTCACCTTTAGAATGCATTGACTGATTTCCACATCATACGATTTCTAGATTCTCACTCCTTTACGAATCTTTCAACTTATAATCAAGCAGATTACGTGGATGCTCCAGTAGAAGACACCTTATCAATCCTGTCAACGCTGTCAGAGCAACTGACTAACGGTTTAGGTCTAGCCTCTAGGGTATATATGACGTACAGGATCAGTATCAACATCGAGATTCCCTACCATTTGGTAGTAGCGAATACGGATTCGTTGAAGATGCTGAAAGACGCCCTAGAAGATGACTGCAATAATAAGTTGGAAGTTGTGCATGATTTTATTCACGTGTACAGGTGGCGCAAGGAACAAGTAAGTATACCGGGTGTCTCAAATTCTTACTGGGATCTCTGAGGTAAGAGATACGAAGTCGCTTAAATGGTATTTGAGTTCCGCATTTAGGTAATTGACAAAATGCCGCTTAGAAAGTTTCGAAATTCAAAGCACTTCCGGAGAGAGACGGAAAAAAACGAATTTCCATAAAATCGTTTCAATTTTTTTCCTGACTTTATTTGTAGTGAGATTTTAAAATAAATTGCACATTGCCACTTTTTCTCCTGTACAAGATGACATATACTAAGTGACATATAAATCCGAACACCCAGTTTAAATGGTTTTATTTTAATAAAAGTTGGTGAATGTATTTATCTTACTGTAAATAACAAGTGAAAAAATGTTCAGCCTTATCAGTTGGACATTCCGGTTTTTATACTGCTTTTTTTAATTCACTAACGCTCTAAAAATGAATATTTTAGCCGCAGTAAAGAATCAACGTTGGCGGATTTTGGTTCTTGACATCCTTTACGATCGGTTACGATGCCTAGAGTACGGAGACCTGTACGATTTCGTCAACTTAGTGAGTTTGATAGGGGCCGTATAGTGGGACTTCGGGAAGCTGGACTTTCTTTCCGGGCAATTGCAGTTAGAGTGCAAAGAAGAGTAGACACTGTGGTTAGGTGTTGTCAGGCATGGCTTCGAAAAGGCCGTAAGCAAAGAGCAAGGGGCACTGGACGCCGCCGTAGAACAACAGACCGTGAAGATCGCCGCCTAAGATTATTGGCCTTAAGGGACCGTTTCTCCACTACCAGGTCCATTGCAAATGAATGGTTTGCAGAACACGGAAGACCTATTGGCATGCGAAGTGTTTACCGACGAATGAGAAGTTTTGGCTTGTTTTCATACCGGCCACACTGGGTCCTCCCTTTAACTCGAGAACACCGACGTAATCGCCTTGAGTGGTGCAGACAACGGTCACTCTGGGATCAGGAATGGAACAGTATTGTCTTTAGTGACGAGTCTCGATTTTGTTTAGGCATGCACGATGGTCGTGCCAGGGTTAGAAGGCGACGTGGTGAAAGGAGGAATCCACAGTTTTTTGTTGAAAGACATGTTCATCACACTGTTGGAGTTATGGTTTGGGGTGCTATAGCTTATGGTTCCATCTTCATCAGAGGTAACATGAACGCGCAGCGTTATATCCACGAAGTTCTAGAACCCCATCTTTGACCCTATCTTGACACCCTGGCAGATCCAACTTTCCAACAAGATAATGCCCGACCACATGTTATAAGAGTCACAATAGACTTCTTTCAACATAATGATGTCACATTGTTACCATGGCCACCAAGATCTCCCGACTTATCCCCAATTGAGCACGTGTGGGATATGATGGGTAGGAGATTGCTCAATTTGCAACGTCCTCCTCAGACTGTAGAAGCACTTCGAGAGGAGTTGGTGGTTGCCTGGAATGAGATACCACAGAAGGACATTGACCACCTGATCAGAAGCATGCCTAGCGCGTTGGAGAATGCGTAGCACATCAGGGTGCATCCACACATTATTAAAGGTCAAAGGGCTTTAAAGCAGTGCAATCATTTTGAAATTTTTATCATTTACTTATTATGCTTCATTAAGTGCTTATACAAAATTTTATTAAAATAAAACCATTTAAACTGGGTGTTCGGATTTATATGTCACTTAGTATAATTAGAATTTCAATATGACGGTCGTCTCTTGTCGTCTAACATCAACTTTATTTTTTATCATGGGCGCCATATTGGATTTTTGCACAGATGAATAGAGTTCTTAATTCTGATTCCAAAAATACAGATACATTGACATTGCCAAGCCTTAGTTATTTAGAAAAAGAAGCATTTCCTAGGCAAGCCTTGAAATTATCAGATAGTAATTTGTTTTGCATACCATATTTATCCCAAATTCATCTTCATTTTTTCCTTACTTCATTGGAGATGGAGTTTCAAAATAAATTGCTTGTTGTCATTGTTACTTATTATCTACAAGATGACGTAGTCAAATTTTCAATTCGAGATTTAAACTTTCGACTTCCGTCACCAACTGTGTTTTTATATGGATGTATATTGGAGTTTTTTACACTTAAATAGACTTTTCAACCCGAAATTTAGTGATGTATATACTTAGTTGACCATGAATGTGTTGTTGAATGAAAATTATAAGAAAATGAAAAGGTAAAATAGAGTTGTAGTGTTGAAAACCTTGACTATGACCTTCAAGCTCATTTGAAGGTTAAGTGTTCTTAAGTGGAAACCACCGGAAATAAAACGAGCAAGAAACTTCATGTTCAATATATGTTAAAGACGTTGACTATGATCATCAAAGTCACTTGAAGATCAAATTAATTTTTACGTTCAAGTATGTTCTTACCAATTTCAAGATTAGATAAACATTCAAACAAACTCCTTACATTTTATCGAGGATACGAAAAAACGGTACATTGAAATTAATTTATTATTGCTTTGTAACGTTGGTAAAGAAATGTTTATTGCCAAAGTAACTATAGGATTACTTTGTGTCTCCGAAACCAATATCTTTTACACTAATGCGAAACGGGTTGGATCTAGTTTAATATGTTTTCTTGCAACGTGTTCGATTCGTTTTTAAGCAATATAAAACAATTAGTAGAAATTGGAAATAAGACATCAGGTGAAAAATATAATGAACACGGTGAACCCCAGGGTTCAGTACTTGAGCCGATTTCATTTCTGATATACAGTAATGGACAAAAGTATATAGACAAATATGAATATTTACCTAAATACCTTTAGAAAACGAATTCATACCTCATTGCTCCATAAACAAATGCGTTATTAGTAGAAAAACTAAATTCCTTGTTTTTACGTTATCTGCAATGAACACAATACAAGTCTGAATATAAGCACTCTTTTATGAGGGACAAAAATATGTAGACAAATTCTTTTCATCATTAGTTTAGTACAGTTTCGTGTCAGAACAGGATTAGTTTGTGTTCACCAAGTGGAATAAGTTCAGTGATTTTAAGATCATTGAGTTATACAAAGATGGTCAACGTCAAGTCGACATTGCCAAAAATTTGAAGCTGAAGCGCAAAGCAGTTTGGGCAATATTGAACAAATATAAACAAAAAGGTATCTTGGAAGCCTCTAAGAGAAGTGGTTGGCCTAGAAAACTAAATGCTAGATCAGTTAGATTAATAAAAGTAATTTTGTCCAAAAATCCGTTTAAAACACCAGGACAAATAAAAGCCGAAATCGAGACAAAAGGAATTGTCAGTGTTTCTACGAAAACTATAATTAGAAGATTAAATGATTTGAAGTTATTTGCACGTCGCCCGAGTAAGAAGCCGCTAATCTCGAGGAAAAACCGTAAAGGACCGATTACAGTTTGCACGGTTGCATCTTGATTGGAGCATCTGTGACTGGCAGAGGGTATGTTTCAGTGAGGAATCCAACTTCAATATGTTTGGATCAGATGGTGTTCATTACGTTAGACGTCCTAGAGGGCAAAGATTGAACCCCAAGTACACTTTGCCCACTGTCAGACATGGAGGTGGGTCTGTTATGGTCTGGGGGTGCTTTTTAGAATAGATGGCATTATGGATAAATTAGACATATATATATAATACCCTATATGGAAGACAATATGCCCTTAAGATCAATCTTCCAGCAAGATAATGACCCGAAGCACACTTCAAATCTCGCAAAGAAATTCTTTCTAGATGAAAAACTACCAGTTCTCACACAGTCTCCCGATATAAACCCCATTGAAAATCTGTGGGAATACTTCGATAAGCAAATACGAGATAAAAATTATTCAAACGAGGATAAAATGTTTGCCGCTTTAGAGCAAAAGTGGAGACAGATTGACGAATCTTATATCAAGAAACTTCTACAATCTATGCCGAGACAATGCCAGGCGGTGATTGATAATAATGGTTATGCTACAAAATTTTAACACAAAAATGGTTGGCTTTCTATAATTCAATGAACTTTGCTTCTTTTTTCTATAATTGTTTTGCTTTGTCTATATATTTTTGTCCTTCATAATTCCAGTTTCTTTCAATTAATTTTTATTGAAGGGAGTCTAATGAATTTATTTATGTATAAGCGAGTATTATGCTATAACGAATTATGTATACTGGTTGGTGTATTAATAAATCAAGTTAAAAAAGAAATACAGCACAATATTAATTTGTCTATATACTTTTGTCCATTACTGTACGTCAATGTTTTGCCGAACCACAATTATGAAAACTATATACTATTTGCTGATGATGCTACAATCTCTGTTAGATCTAAAAATAAGGTGTTTTTTCAAAGTTGAATCATTTATTTTAACAGCTTGTAGAACTCGTCAAAAATCACCTATACAGGGTGTCCGCAAAGTTGGGGTTTTCCTTTACACGACGTGTAGATCTTGAAAACATAAGCAATTTTTCTTAGTACCATATACACCAATGTCTTAAGGGAACCGAGATAAAGGGCTCTGCAACATCAAAAATATCTGAATACCGTCCTGTAGCCGCGACATCCCCGAATGGTACTAGGACACTAGCTCAACCCGACGACAGAACTGGGTCGGGGTCAGTGTGTCAGGTCAGTATGCAACCTTCAACCGACGGTTACGGTCACGCGTCTAGAGGTAAACGAACCCATATAATCGATTGCGTTTCAAAAAACAACAAGCACTAGAGACATGGCTAGAGAAGTGCAAGTATCAAAAACTAAAGTGTGGCAAACGCTGCGTGAAGAGGGGCTGTATCCGTTTCACGTCCAACGTGTACAAGACCTTCAACCTGACGATTTTCCAGCAAGAGTGCGGTTTTGTGAGTGGTTGTTGCATCAACACGACAATAATCCGGACTTTTTGAAGTGCATATTGGTGACAGACGAATCTACGTTCACGCGTAATGGGGTGAATAACTTTCGCAACACTCATCTTTGGTCATTACGCGACATTTTGCCTTCCTTGTTTGCCTGCGTCTGCTCGGTAGCGCATCAGCTGATTTCATTTTCTGTTGGAGCGGTATGATTTCGGGCAGAGACGTACTTAGCCCTTGTCGTCAACTGGAGAGTGAGTACTTTTTCCTTTATTTTTTTTACTTTGTCGTCCTCGTTTCACTACACATTACCTTTGTTATTTCAAGGGTAGTTGTTTCTGAAAAGGAAAACCCCAACTTTGCGGACACCCTGTATAAAAGATGCATAATAAGAGAGTTAGCTTACATCATAAAAAATTATTTTAAAAAATTCATCACTTTAAATGGATAACGTTTTTACAAAAAGTGTTCAAAATTATCCCCGTTTGTTCGATTAACGCAAAATCGTGCTCGGCGAATCCACGACTCTTTACAAGATTTGAAAATAAAATCCTGGTGTCCAAGAATTGAATCACAAACAATTTGAGTGCGCTGTTGAAGTTTTTCCAGAGTATTTACCGCTCCATCATGATACACCAACTCTTGCATATAGCCCCACAGAAAAAAAACGCAAGACGTTAAATCCGGGAAGCGAGCAGGCCAACGAATGGGTCCATTGCGCCCTATCCATCTATTCGGAAACTCATTATTTAGATGTGTGGTCGAAATTATCAAAAAATCTGCGTAATAACATTCTTATTTTTTTAAATTTTTAATCTTTTATTATCTATTTTATTATAAAAATAAATTTTGTTACACAGTGACGTATGTAAGTACTGTATGTACATTACCACCAATAAAGTATTATATTATTATTATATCCCACTTCAGTTGGCCCATCTATTGAAATCTTAGTTTTTTTCTTATCAAACACAAATAATAAAAATGTAGCAGGGTGTTATAGGTTTAAAATATTAACAATGAATATTTTGATAATATATAGTAGAAAACACCAACTTTATCACACCCTAATCAAATTTGCAGCATAAAAATAACACATGTTGCAATTACAGCATATCAACCTATTTTCATTTCAATGCAAAATAAGTCTATAACGCATAGGTGGCTGTGAAAAATAAAAGCCATGACAATTGTTTTTATTAACCACAGCTGTCAGAATACGTTTAAAATAGTTTTGGGTTGTTCAGGTTTTCAAAACGGGTAGAGGAAAGGTTATTAGTGAGAAAATTTGGTTACTGATAATTAAATTTTTTAATTCTGGGAAATCAAACTCAGAAATTGCAACTTTGTTAGACTTATCGCGGTACAGTGTGAGAAATATTGTTAGAAGATATAACGTAACTGGTTCAGTTAATATTAAGCCACGATATGTGAAGAAAAGTAATATCACAAATGCAGCATTAAGAAGAATAGTCATGAAAAACAGGCATGCGAATTATTTACAATTAAGTGCTCTGTGGAGTGACGCTGTTGGAATGAGAATTTCGAGGTCCATAACTGATAGAGAGGCCCACGAACTGGGATTTAGCACTTGCAAGTTTCCTTATAAAAAAAAGTGAAGTAAAAACCCTAAAGTTGCACAACTTGTTTATAGGCCAAAGAAAAGCCACTATTAACTCCACTGCAAAAGAAAAATCGGCTTAGATGGGCTAAAGAACATAGACAATGGACACCTGAACAATGGTGTGCAATACAATGGAGTGATGAGGCCCGATTCGAAGTTTGTGTTGGTGACAGTCGCAGTAGAGTTATTCGCAAAAAAATGAAGCATTCCATGTTGACTGTCTGAAGAGAAAAGTGAAATTTCTAGCATCCATTATGGTCTGGGGCAGTATGTTATCAAAAGGAGTAGGAAAACTTCATTTTATTGATGGAAATGTGGATACAAACAAATATTTGACAATTTTAGAAGAATCGCTTTTACCAGTGATGGAAGAATGTTTGACACCCGGCCAAGATTTTGTGTTTCAGCAAGATGCCATACCTCAAAAAATGCTATAAAATGGATGGAAGAAAATAATGTACCACCTTTGAAATGGGTTTCTAGCAGTCCAGATCTGTCACCTATTGAAACTTTGTGGCACGAGATGAAAAAGGTTCTACGACAACATCCTGCTCGTACAATCACCAAACTGAGACAAAAGCTTCAAGAAATATGAGATTATTTTACACCAAATTTTTGTCAAAACTTGGTTAACACTATGCCCCAAAGAATTTCAGCCGTATTAGAAAACAAAGGTGATGTTACCCAATGGTAATCTTTCAATTGTTGCTTTGTTAACTTCGCGCAGTTATTCGCACATTGTTTGTTTGTTCAGATGTTCCATTAGTTATAGGTCTAAGTGATTTCAAATATGTATTTTTTACGTCTAGAGTGTATCTAAAATGTTTTCTAGAAAATAAATTGTTTTAGAAGTAAATACGAGTAGTTTCGTCATGTTTAGTTTATAAAGGCATATTTTGGTACAAATCTTGAAGTGGGCCAACTGAAGTGGGAAGGGGCTCGTATTGTATTTTCATAGATATACTACAGTTTGAAAAATACATTATTCTCAGTGCATCACCATAAATTAGTGTCGAATTTTTAGATTTCAGACTTTATCTGCGAGGAAATCATCAATTCGGCTAACGCATACGTAAGATCCAAAACCGAGCAATACCTAATGTGGGACGTAAAAATGGATGAAAACTTCCATCTGGTGCTCCAACTGCTTCAAGATAACTGCTCGATACTTGGCTACAAAATTTACACGTACGCGAGCACGATGCACAAGGTGCAAGTGTTAGCCAACCTGGACTTCAAAATCAGCGAAATCGCGCTCGTGATCGAGCTGCTAATCGTGGCTCACAATTGTTTTACCGCCGATTGCAATATGGAAGGCATCACCATCATTCTGAAGAAGTGTCAGAAGGTCATTGCACATCTGCTGACGCTAAGGAGTTGGAAGCTGATAGTTAGGCTGTTAACAGGTTAGTTGATCATGCGCAACTAGCAAAGTAGTGCTATATGCTTTTGGTAAAAGAACGGTTCAGCCATAAAAGCTCTCTATTGTTGTTGCCTGAACACCAAAATGCTGGGTTAATGTGGTGTGGAATGCAAATTTGCTTTAGCATAGTTATACAAAATCTTATAGGACAAATTTTTAACTGTTGCATAAACGTTTATACAACTATTTTATACGGCATATTTGCACGTTGGTCAAAATGGTTGTGTTGTGACATCCATGGTAACGTTAATAAAACAAACCCGAGCTTTGTTGTTTTGCTTGCAAATTTACTACTTTAGAGCCGTTTTACACACAAGAGAATTACTCCGAAAATTATGGTCATAATTATACTGAAAATTTGCATGGAAAAAATATTGAAGATTTTCTCTACAACCTGTATGACACAAGCAAACAAAATTTCGGAGTAATTCATATGATACGCCTGCGCATTAGAGTTATATTTTCAAATGGACATAACCTTAACGGGTATGACGTCCAATATAATCGGAAAGACAACAGACGTCGATAATTTAAATTCATTTTTGAAATCGAGATATTGGTTAATATTATAAAACTTCTCAATGCTTGGACTATGGCATCCAGCGCGTGACGCCGCAAATTTCTGTTTTTGTAATTGGGTGACTTCACCTTGTACAGGTTTGGCCATTTTTGGTACTCCTCCAACAACATTGTAAATTCTTCCCGATTCCACGACATTATGAATACACAATAACAATAAACGCTCCTTCGTACGACTCGAACAGGACCACTCCCACAAATGTTAAGTGAGGTTATGTTGTTGTTGTTGTCGTTGACATTTGATATTGACATGCACGGAAATAACCCTCTGCGCCGATTCTCGCGCATATAATATAGAACGGGTTTTATATTTTTACCATGAAAATTTTCACAAGAATTCTTTTACGTGTAATACGACAGCAAAAATTTTCAGCATAATTATGACCATAATTTTCGGAGTAATTCTCTTGTGTGTAAAACGGCTCTTAGCCAACAAATTGTTCCTAACGGAAGCACTTATACAACTGTTGTTTAGTAACTGTTAAAAGCTGTACATATTATATAATATACAATATTACAACTTTTGTAGTACAAAATTGCTGTGCTCGGCATACATTTGTTGCTAAATATATTGGCATACAACTTCACCATAAGCTAGCTTTCTGCTGTCATATATTTGTTAAAATGCCATAACCAATGTTTTAAGACAAACAACGCATGCATATTGGTTCAAAAGGTTTTATCAACTGTTCAAACAGAAGATATAGATCTGGTACAAATTCCGCATAAATCATTCGATTTTGTCGGTATTTCATTTCAGACATTTGTCAAATTGTTGTATAACACCTGCAGGCAACACCAAAATATTCTAATAAACTAAAGACAACATGGACAATGCCGTGATTATATACAACCACCCTCCATATTGGGCAAACATTTATTCCTCTATTTAATATTAAATAATTATGTTTCAGTTCGAAATTACAGATATAAAGTGATGAACATTAGTGCAATTGTGTCTAAATACAGGATTTGTGGAAGATTTAACGCAGATAAGTTCAGTTTTCCATCTTAAAAATCTAGACATCCTTTTGATCATTATTAAAATATGAATCAAATACGAAGCCCCTAGAAATTGCGTAACTACTTTGCACGATAATCACAATAAAATTTGCTGCGCAAGTATTTCAATAGCCCTATATCACAGTGTAGACATTTATCACATACCTGTGTATGAAATTCACAATGGCCGATATGTAAGTAAACAAGATGACTGTAATGTGTTAGTTATATATACTTTACTTCGTCTATACAATAGTTTGGTTGCAACAAAGTAGAATCACGTAACATAATAGTTGCATAGTTGACAAAAACTGAATCTTGCACTGACGCAAATGTACTATAGCGGCTGCAAGAGGCTTACACTTTTGTTGTATAACTGTTACCTGCAGCCGTTATACAATCTCTTAAATGACTGAAGTGTCCTATTAGGTGTGCCCATTCCGCTTGAACAGCTGTTCTAAGAGGGTTTTGCCAATGTTCTAACAGTATACAATGCTGTGTAAGGAATACTGTATAATCATTCTTGCAACTCTAATAGGAGTGATAATTGTTAGTTGGGTGGAATGTTTAATATTCTAGAAATTAATGCCGCCACTCCCTAAACCTGCTAGACCAACTCACCAGGCTTTCGCATCACATTCTAATCACACGCTTACTGGCGAGGAAGTATTGTAATCGTGAAAACTTTCGAAAATGAGATATGTTTTTTGGGAGTTATAAGACATGTACATCACGATAAAACATGCCGCTCATTTCCATCGGTCAGTCTGTCTGTCGGCTAATCCATGGCCCGTCTATATTTTGAGAAATATTGCTCCGATTTTGATGAATTTTCACACAAGGTTACTACTATTGCCAAGGATGTATAGTCTGAACATGAAATAAGTAAAAATAGCGCAAACTTCGTTTTTTGACGTCTCAGAGGCTCCTGATCATTTTCAGAATAAAATCTACAGGGGTTGAAAATCGAGGATTCCTGGTATATCAAGGACGAAAAAGCTTTGTAGTTTTTGGAAAACGAACCAGTGGCGCCGGAGAAAAAGGCCAGAAGCGAAAAAAATTAAAATCGCTCAAACCTAACTTTTGGAGGTTTCAGAGGATCCTGATCATTTTTTAAAACATTTTAGGGGTGGGGGAGAATTTTTATGCACGCAACCTCGGTAGTTATGTGCACCTATTAGACATATTTCACACATGAACCTGTATGACTGACTTGATCCGTTTAATTTCCCTATTGTACATGTTCGTAACTAACTTTGTTCTCTGAGGATTTAAATGGCACTGAACTCGATTATTTACGACCGACCCTGATGACGGCGTTGCCTAGAAAGTGCAGAGTCAACCTACTCGACGTCATTTTTGACATAACTCGTACCCCCTTCCCCCTGCTCTTCACGTTTGCTGCGTTATCCTTTTCTTTGTTTATTTCTTTGTTGAAGATTTATTTAGCATTAATGCTACAATGTCAATTTTGTAAAATTATTCGTTTATACATTTTTTTGAATCCATTTTCTGTAATTTTACGTTCTATTAAAATTACACCACTACGTATTTTGAGTATTCATAAAGTGATTATTTATATTCACCTTAAACATTTTTAATTTCGAACACTGTTTAACATCATTATTCGATTTATTAAAGTTTTAAACACAGATTTGCTAGTTATTCTATTACAATTTTGCAGATGAAAAACTATACTGCCTCTAGTTTCGTAGTTGCGATAATGACTATTTAATTTTGTGATGTTTACTTAATGCGGTGGCAATAAATGATTTTTTAATTTGAATATGAAAATGTGAAGTAAATAACATATGCATTTTTTTACATTCAACCACTTTAGCTCTTCTAACATAGACTTAATCCTAGCATTTTGTTTTTAATTAAAATGATTCTCGTAGCCTTATTTTGTAGAATTTTTAATTTTGAAAATACATTTTCATTTGCTATAAACAAGATGGTTGAACAATATTAAAAATGGAAAAGAACTATAGTGTCATACACAATTTTTTTGGAATACATATTAAGATTATGGGAAACTCTATACAAGTAATTTATCTTTTTTGATATTTTGAAATATCGATATCGATTGTATGATTCGAATACTTCATTTTTTTCGTCATTAATCGTGAGCCTGATTGTATTGTCACCTAAATATTTTCCTATTGACATACGTTTTGTTTCATTAGTGTTTAATTTATGTTTATTAACATCTAACCCATTCATAATTTTCTACTACCACAATTTAACAGTTCTAAAGCAGTGTCCAAATGTTTATGTGCTATATATATCTGTACCTCAGAGCCAGACTAGGTTAAGTCCTTTTTTAATAATATTGTGAATTTTCATTTGCTACTTGCAGCGTCCATCTATCTGTAATAATAAGGAAGTTACGACTTTTTAACTCAAGACAAGTCGCGATACAATACAAGAAAAGTATTCCAAATTCAATTATCTCAAAACTACTTATTTGGACTTAACCTTGTCTAGCTCTGATGTACAGATTATATATATCAATGTATCGTCCGCAAATATTTGAATTTTGCACTGTTTAAGGCCCGTATCGTCGGTCGTCCCTACAATTGTAGGGCGCGTTTATGTCCTCCTTGATTGTCATACTCCTTTCTCTCCATCAAAAATTTCTAGATTACACTTGTCCCGTGTCAGCGTCAGCCCTCTCCTATTGTGAAGATATATTTTCTTTTTAAATTGTAGGAAATTTCAGGCTGATAAAACATGATATAACTCAAAAGCAAGCACCATTTGATGCAAATGATGTTTGAGACATAACCTCAAAATATAGCGCTGACACGGAGAAGTAGAAAACTATGGCAATCAAGAAGGCCATAAATGTGCCCTACAATAATTGTAGGGATGACTGACGATAAAGGCCTAAAATATCAGAGATGTTATTTATATAAATAATATATAGTAACGGTCCTAATTTATTCCCCGGTGGCAACCCTACTGATATATTCTGAATACTTGACATAATATTTCCAACTTTAGTTTTGTTCCTTCTATTTACTAAATAATTTTGTAAAATGTTTAATACTGATCCTTTAAAACCATAGTGATGCAATTTCATTAACAATTTTTCCCTATCTATAGTCTCAAATGCCCTTTTGAAGTAGTTTCAATACATTCTTACTCATCTATTATACTTCTTCCACCACCATTTGGATTGCTGTTTCTGTAGCATATTTTTTTCTAAATCCAGCTTGATTTTTTGTCAGAATTTTGTTTTCTTCAATGAGTTCAATGATTTGTTCGTATATTATGAACAGCTTCCCGACATCTGGCAAGACATATTAGTCAGACGCATATTTGTATGTAGCTCAGAATGTTGAACTTTTGGCACAGGAGTCATGGTGGAACACTTTAATTTTGATGGGAATTCAGTATGTACTAAACAGTGATTCACCAATAATAATAATATTAATTTAATAAAATTAATAATTTCTCTAGAATCTTTTTTGAGAGATTCTCACTTAGATTTTTATTAGATTTCAATTCTGAGATAGCTTTTCTTAGATTGTTGATGTTTATTGTCCTAAATTGATTCATTTATGAATTATGCTATACTTGTAATGAACACAGTATCAACAGTACGCAAGACAAAAAGACACAAACACTCATTATAAAATCTCTGCCACTGACGATACCAATATGTTGTTTCCATATTTCAGGTGTGGGCAGATATACGGAAATGAATTACGTTTTCCAAATTCTTCGAGAAAATGACCAATTCGAATTTCTCCTAAGGAAAGGTTCCAGAAAAGACAGTGCCCTGAAAACAGCACTGTTAGAATACCTGAAGAAGTACTGCCCCGATAATAGGGATCTATACAAAATCGTGGCGCTACACTTCACCCTGTTTTCGGAAGTAGCGTTATTGTGGGAAAGGGAGGCGCAAAGTGTCATCAGGAATTTAATCGCTATTTCGAAATTAGAGATGCAGAATAATAAGCTGAATCCTGACATTGAGCCATACATTTTGTTTACAAATACGGACGGCACGAAAATATGCCTGAATAAGGTAGGTTGTGACCTGTTTTGTGTATGCTTCACGCAGAATATTTCAAAAATTACATACTGCGACATTGTGTATCATCCGTATTTAGATTCATTATCTGTCAAGCGTTTGCAAAAAATTCAAAATGCATGTTGCAGATTAATCTCTAACTTGAAAAAAATATGACCACCTTACCTCCTCATAAAATTGGAATAGGTATCTATACCTAATCTATTCAAATTTCATTTACTGTTATATTCATAAGCTTTTACTTATCTCAATTCCTCCATTTTTGAAGGACAAGTTAAAATTTCGAGGTACCTATGCACTCGCGAGATATTTGCTTTATTGATACAATCACAATGCCTCCTCACAGAACTTCATTTTTTAATAAATATTTTACTTATAGTGCTACTATCATGTATATATCTCTGATACTAAAGCTTTAAAAAGTATTTAAAAAAAATCATTTTGGTGCTATCATTGACATAAATTTATCTATCACTTCTGCTTATAAAATATGTATTAACATCATTCTATAATGTGGACTGTTATACTTTTATCCAATCTTGATTTATTTTACTCAATCAATTCATTTTTAAGTTGACGCCTCTGCATTTTTAGAGGTATATATTGTTTTTATTGTTTATTTTATGGATAGACATTTTGCGGATTAAATGGTAGAATAGCTTATGCTAAACTTCGCCCAATGAGATTTTATTATTATTATAAATAGACAATTTCAAGTAGCAAAAATAGTATTTTCATATCACTAAGTGTTTATAGTAAACGCATTTCAAATATATTATCATCCATGCATAGGTACTGCTAGAATTCCAGATAAATTAAATCTATGAAAAATACAAAATCTGTAGAAAAAAACACAGCAGTCAGAGACGCTTTTCTAAATTTCATTGGGTTATTTGAAAAGTGGAATTTACAGAATTTAACTCTACAGTTCAGTCAAAATGTCAAACTATTTCTGGAAACGTCAGAATTTCCTTGACAAAACTTTGCAGTCTCATAACAAGTGGCAGATGTAATATGGTTTTTTTACGCATGAAAATGCTATTCCTAGAATATTTCAATGGACGTTATTCATTTCGCGCATGTTTTTCATTAATACCAATAGTCTAATCATATTAGACGAAAATATCTCTGGTTTGCGAAATATTTCTCAAGTCTGGTTTTATTGCTGCAGGTTGTTCAAGGAGGTATTCAAAACCTGTGGTTTTTACAGTTTCAAGTCGAAAGCTATACTAAGTGACATATAAATCCGAACACCCAGTTTAAATGGTTTTATTTTAATAAAAGTTGGTGAAGTATTTATCTTACTGTAAATAACAAGTGAAAAAATTTTCAGCCTTATCAGTTGGACATTCCGGTTTTTATACTGCTTTTTTTTAATTCACTAAAAATGAATATTTCAGCCGCAGTAAAGAATCAACGCTGGCGGATTTTGGTTCTTGACATCCTTTATGATCGGTTACGATGCCTAGAGTACGGAGACCTGTACGATTTCGTCAACTTAGTCAGTTTGATAGGGGCCGTATAGTGGGACTTCGGGAAGCTGGACTTTCTTTTCGGGCAATTGCAGTTAGAGTGCAAAGAAGTGTAGACACTGTGGTTAGGTGTTGTCAGGCATGGCTCGAGAAGGCCGTATGCAAAGAGCAAGGGGCACTGGACGCCGTCGTAGAACAACAGACCGTGAAGATCGCCGCCTAAGATTATTGGCCTTAAGGGACCGTTTCTCCACTACCAGGTCCATTGCAAATGAATGGTTTGCAGAACACGGAAGACCTAATCCACAGTTTTTTGTTGAAAGACATGTTCATCACACTGTTGGAGTTATGGTTTGGGGTGCTATAGCTTATGGTTCCAGGTCACCTTTAATCTTCATCAGAGGTAACATGAACGCGCAGCGTTATATCCACGAAGTTCTAGAAACCCATCTTTTACCCTATCTTGACACCCTGGCAGATCCAACTTTCCAACAAGATAATGCCCGACCACATGTTGCAAGAGTCACAATAGACTTCTTTCAACATAATGATGTCACATTGTTACCATGGCCACCAAGATCTCTTGACTTATCCCCAATTGAGCACGTGTGTGATATGATGGGTAGGAGATTGCTCAATTTGCAACGTCCTCCTCAGACTCTAGAAGCACTTCGAGAGGAGTTGGTGGTTGCCTGGAATGAGATACCACAGGAGGACATTGACCACCTGATCAAAAGCATGCCTAGGCGCGTTGGAGAATGCGTAGCACATCAGGGTGCATCCACACATTATTAAAGGTCAAAGGGCTTTAAAGCAGTGCAATCATTTTGAAATTTTTATCATTCACTTATTATGCTTCATTAAGTACTTATACAAAATTTTATTAAAATAAAACCATTTAAACTGGGTGTTCGGATTTATATGTCACTTAGTATATTTTAGGACACAGTCAGTAAAACTGTTTCTAGTGATATATTTTTTGACTTTCTCAATGTCTGTTGTTTTTTTTTTCAATATTCTAATTCATCGTGAAATCTCTGCATATCTTCTGAAACCGTTTTGCAATTTGCAAGACCATTACATGCAAGGTCTTGCAGTTGCAAGAGGCCCTGTTAGCTCGATTCAAACGAATAAGTTTATCCAACCTAAATAAATGAAATATTCACTGTCACATTCAAAACCTATAATTTTCGTTCTGGTTTTTAACCCTTCCGAACACATAGTTTTAATATCCAAAAACTAGTTTGAATCGCCGAACATGCAACATCAAAACACGATCAAACATACTATATATCTGTAAAGAATTAAATATAACCATACAAACCATCGGGCCAGCCTAGGGACATTTGCATGTATTGGTAACTTGCAAGTTACTAGCTATTCCACTAGAATTGTAGACAAACTTGCATGAAAAATCGAACTGATTGATTTTCTTGCAAGACCCCAGCAGCAGTGGCGGCTCGTGGCAAAATAAAACAGGTGTTCTGCAAATCCGAACTTACCTATTTTTTATATGTCAGTTCGATCCTGCGCTCCTTCTTGGCAGCAAATTTGTCGATCACCTACCCGTTGAAATTTTCCATGGTCGAAATAAATTCCTTTTCAATGGACAGCATCGACAACGCTGTAAGGCGATCCTGGGTCATAGTATTACGAAGAAAAGTCTTGATTCTTTTCAATGTTTTGAGAAATTTCACTCAGCCTCTGATGTTGACATAGGAGTTGTAACAATAATTTCTAATAGCTTTTTTGTTTCTTTTAGTGTTTCAAAAGTGTATCAAAAATTTCAAAAGAGACAGAGTTCCATGTAAATCTCGGCAATCATTCCGTGTATAAATAACAGACAACTCTGTCTTTAAACGACTTTTTTCTAATTCGGGATAAGCCAAGCAGGTAGTTTCCAACTTGTCATCAGGAAACTTACCACAGTATTCTCCAAAGTGTTCGGGGAAAAAATATGTCTTGTGAGAGTATCAGCGTCACATTTTTCGGGATTCATATAATTCCAAAAACGTTCTACTGGTTCGCAGTTAAATACGTATCTGAGAATTGTTACCAGTTGGGTTTTCCCCGAAATGTCCGTTGTTTCATCTGCTATTATCGCCAAATACAAGACTTTGTTAATCTGTTTTATTATTTATTCATGACAAACTTCAAGAATACAATCCAATAGATCGTTTTGTATTTCTTTCGTAGATCTTTTAAATATTGAAGCATTTTTTATGTGTTCGCTTAAGGTTGTATCAAGCTCAGCAGAAAAATTAATCAGTCCACGAAATATTCCCGGGTTTTGGGAGCTCCGCATAATTTTATACCGAGCACCGACCGACCAATCAGATATCGTACTTCGCATTAGATCTGCACGGATCTATATAACGTGCAGCACATGCTTAGGCTTAAATCGCGCATTTAATTTTGTAGAGAGAGACAAAAGCAAGCGCGTCGAAGTAGTGCACAGACCCTTTTCAAGTGGCCCATGAATAATGTTACGCTGCGGTCGCGACGAAAGTACACAATTGGTCGATTATAATGCTTTCTCAATACAAAACAGACTCGACGCCGTGTCTTGCGGGGGCAGCGTTGCCGGTATTGTTTCTATTTGTGTGATAACATGGAAAATAAATAATGATCAAATTACTACTGCTTTTTCTGTTAAGACAACTAGTTTTGGCAGTTTTGCAGCTCTGCAGAACTTAAGGGCCAGCCGCCCGCTAGCAGCAGTTGCAAGAAAATGACTTGTAACGGATACTACTAAAAATATTTTTTTTTCTCAGGCTATGGAGAACTACATCCATGCTACCGAGTTTCATCTACAAGGCGAAAAACTGGCTAAAGCAATGCATTCTGCTAAGCAAGCTGAACTGATTGCACTTCAAGTGTCTTATTGAAAGGGTTAACATCCAGTGGAACAGCCATCTGCTTATTGAACCTGAATCAGACGCAGATTTGCAGTTTGATTTCCGGAAACTTAAGGTACGCTTTATTAAAAATATATAAAAGATAAAAACGTGAAAATGCCGGATTTTTAAACCGTCCGTCTAGTTTTACGTTACTTCTAGATAACTTTGTTATCATTTAAAGTTTCAACATCGGTTCAATAGTGCCTCAGAGATATAAAATTTCTTGTGTATAGATAAACCACTCTGTATATCCATAAAAACTGAATTTAGAACTGTTTTATTTTCAGATATGCAAAGTTCTCAGTATCCTTTCACTATATTCATTTAAGTATGGAACAATTTGTCATGCTCTTTAACGTCTTAAATATTACGTTAAATCTCCACCGATGTGACATTAAAAGGATAGTGTAAAATAAAATGAAATATCATGTCACTCAATTACGTCGATCTATTTGTCTGTCTGTCAGTCGGTTCTTATCTAAACCTGTAGTACCGCTTAGATTTTGATGCAATTTTCGCACAAGTTTGCTACTATGCCAAGAACGAAAAAGCTGTGTAGGCGCCCCCTGTAATCCGACATGTCTTTGAATATTACATACATACGTATTTGACTAAATTCGCTAATGTAGATCACAAAGGTTTGAACAGGTTACAACTTGTACGCGCCACCGCTATCGTGCTCGACGCGTAAGCATTGTTTTACTTAGTTTGAATTTGACTACTTGTGATAGCGGTACGGCCTAACGTGCGTTCACTGTTTACTATTTATTCATTGTGTATTAAGTATAGTACCTAGTAATGTCATCACTAACTCAGAAGCGAAAGCACAAAACGTTGACAATTAAAGAAAAATGTGATATTTTAGACCGCTTAAATCGCAATGAAACTTTCAGTAGTTTAGCAAGTGAATACGGCGTAGGCCGATCTACAATTTATGACATTAAAAGAAACCACGACAAGATCAAGAAGTTAGTGTCAACAACTGGCTGCGGGCCAGGCAAGAGACAGACACTCAAGAAAGCTGAACATCCAGAAGTGGAAGAAGCTTTGTACATGTGGTTTCTTCAGGAAAGAAATAGGCATGCACCAATTTCAGGACCCATGTTGGCCATGAAAGCTAAGTTTTTTCATAAAGAAATAACAAAAAAAGATGATTTTGTGGCCAGCAAAGGATGGCTAGAACGTTTTAAAAGTCGTCATGGCATACGTTTAATGACTATTACAGGAGAGAAACTTTCTAACGATGCCACCTACATAGAGCCCTTTAAATTAAGATTTTTGCAAAAGGTGAACGATTTAAATCTTGACGCGTCACAGGTGTACAATGCAGACGAATCAGGGCTTTTTTGCGTGTGATGCCTAACAAAACTTTCGTTTCTTGTAACGAAAAATCCGTACCTGGACGAAAAGTAAGTAAAGAGCGTGTAACCATACTACCATGTGCTAACACTGCGGGCACACACGCGCTTTAAATGATGGTCATTGGGAAATCTAATAAACCACGAGCATTCAAAAACATTGGTTTACCTGTACACTATTACTGACAAAAAAGTGCATGGATGAGAAGAGACCTTTTCAAAAAGTGGTTTCATGAATGCTTCGTACCTGAAGTTAGAAAATGGTTAAAATATCATAATTTTTCTCAAAAAGCGTTGTTGCTTCTTGATAACGCTCCCGGTCATCCGTCTGGAGAACTAACAACTGAGGACAAATGCATCACTGCGATGTTTCTTCCGCCAAACTGCACTACACTGATTCAACCAATGGTCCAGAATATCATTCAGTTTGTCAAGCAAGACTATAAGACAAACCTACTTCTGAGAGCCGTATCAAAAGACTAACCAATAGAAAAAACTTTAAAAGAATTTAGACTTGGTTTTTGCTCTTTGTCAGTCGTGGAATGCGTTACCGACATCAACTATTAAATCGTCTTGGAAAAAGTTATGGCCAGATATAGTCACCACTCCTAGCAACGTTCCACAAATCACTGTAACTTCGGAAATTATAGAACAAATCGCTACTGAAACACAGATAAGTCCGGAAGATTTGGAAATCTGGTGCCGTGGAATGGATAAAGAGGAAAATGTTTTTCATGAAATGTCTGACGAAGAGATTATAAAAGAGGTTTCTAATTATACAATAAACAATCAGGAAAATAACGACGACGTGATTGCAACTGCTCCACAAGTCACAGCACAAGACGCAATTAACGCCTTTGAGCTAGGTTTACAATGGGCTGAAGAGAATGGTACATCCTACAACGAACTTTTACTTTTGAGAAGACTGAGGGACAAAGCTCTGAGCTCGCGTTATAACAACCTTAAACAAAAAAAAATTGATGAATATTTCCAAGCTTCATAATTTGATAAATTCGTTAATGATTTTGATTAATAATTCTTGATTATTTTGATACATATGTATGTGCATTTTATGCTTAATTTTATAATAAAACGTAATCTCTCTATTGTTTTTTAATTTACTATATTCAACGTACATAAACTACAGTACATACATATACATAACATATATAATCTTACCATTGGATATGTAATTTGTCGGATTACAAGGTACTCTTTTGTAAAAAATTCCGGACTATAGGGGGTCTTAGGCAGTGCTCTATAATCCGACAAATTCGATAGTCCGACACTGCCCTGCATAATGTTTGCCGGATTACCGGAGGTCCACTGTAATAAACAAACATGTTCTTTGCAATTTCAGTTTCGAACAGAGTCTCATCCTGGTCCAATCATACAACTATCAACCGGACTGGAGTTCAGTTCTGTTCGACCAGTGCATCCTCAGATCAAATCTTGCTTACTTGGAATCTTTCATGAAGCAAGAACCGCTTACAGAAAACATCGTCCATGATATATCAAGGAAATTTGTTGCTGCGAACATCAACAGTTCCACAGAAATAGAAAGCATGAAAGTGATACTTGATAAGTTGTGTTCTGTACACACGAAATATAGGTTAGCTAGCGAGTTGGGTTTTACTGATGTTGTTGAGGATTTGATTCAAAGTGGACAGTTGGCGTATTTGAAAGATACCGTCTGGAAGAAGGGTTACAAAACTTGAGGAATGCGTTTTTCTTTATACAGTGTGAGTCTTCATAAAGTGCACATATCAAAATCAGGGAAACTACACTCTATTTCATCGACGGATAAATCATAAAAAAAAAAATTAAAAACAATAATTGATTTTTTATGAATATTTTAAAATTTTTAGAGTCAGCTGCTAACACTATTTAAATAAATCGTTTCAACTTTTAAACTGAATGTCCTATCATATTGGAATAAATTATGTAGTGATTGCAAATAATAGGCCGTACCAGTAAAGTGAAAATTTCCACAAAATTAAATGCTATAAATTTAAAATAAAGAGGAATATGCTGAAACTCACTATTTTTTCAATGATTTTTAAAACAATTGCTAAATTTCAATAAAAATTGTCCTATTTACCCTACCTTTTTTAAATGTTAAGTCCTTCTACATGTTATTAGCTTCCTAATGGTGAAAAATTGCAAGTTTATTACTTAGATACAAGTTTTTAAATAAGCGTTTCAAAAAGCAGTGAACTCAGTTCAACGCCAGAGTAGGAATAAAACAACAGTATTAACCTACATGAATCATTCATTATCTTTAACAAATAAGATCAAATAGACTTGTCTATATTATAATCATTTTGGCTTAATGCATCAAATGTTCAAAATGGCCACCCCGTTGCTGCAAACACATTGTAGCGCGAAGTGAAATTTGATGAGTTGCCCTACGAATCATCTCGGGATCATTTTTGATTTCGTTTGCAACACGCAAAACTCTTTCTTCAAGTTCCGCTTCGCTGTTTATGGAACTGCTGTACACCCTTTGTTTCATTGTCCCCCATAAAAAATAGTCGAGAGGTGTGAGATCTGGGGAACGCGTCGGCCACCCAACAGGTCCTTGTCGACCGATCCAGCGGCCTGGATAATTTTCATTAAGAAAAGACCTGACAATCAGCGAGTAATGGGCAGGACATCGATCCATTTGAAGCATCATTCTTCGACGGGTTTGCAGCGGCACTTCTTCCAACAACAAGGGCAGTTCAGTCCGCAAAAGCTCCAGAAATCTCTCTCCGTTTAATGTCCTCAGGAGTATTGTTGGACCAATCAAAAAGTTGTCAATCAGTGCGGCCCACACATTTACAGAAAATTTCACTTGAAATGTTGAAGCCCTTTTCAGCCTAGGGTTTTCATCTTTTGGGCACCACTTATGTCAATTACGACAGTTCACGATGCCGTCTCTCGTGAATTGAGATTCATCTGTCCACAGAATTGTTTTCGGGAATTCAGGATTGTCTCTTGTTTTTATTAAAATCCATGTAGACATAACGCACCTTGGACGCCAATCCACATCTTCATGCAAGTGCTGCACCCTTTGATAATGGTATGGATGCAACCCTGCTTTCCTCAAGATGCGCCAAACCGATTTCTGGGATACGCCATGACGTAACGCTAAACGTCTCGTACTAGTAGTCGGGTCAGCAAACAAATCATCCAAAATGGCTTCTTCGATAGCAACATGAATAATAACACCTGGTTCGCGGCGATCTCGAGGCAAACCAAGTCCAGTGTTCGCCAGTCTTCTATGTACTTCTTGGAAGTTACGGGCTGGTGGAACAGGGCGTCGATTTGGAAATGCAGCTAGATAAGCTGTGCAAGCAGCTCTAGCACTCCCTCGGTACATTCCATAATAATAATGGATATCGGCAATGTGTGCCGCGATGCCACTTATACGTGGCATCGCGACCAAAAAGCGAAAGCGTGATATGTAGCAAACGAAACTGATAAAGTTGGCAGGAGAAACACACATAGCTGCCTAACTGCCCAACATTCAATTGTTTTTCAACTGGGCCCGCCTCCCCACTCGTACTTCAGCCCGCGCGACTCTACATTGAATCACCAAAAAAAGGTATCTACATGATAAACAATGGTGCCTAGCAAGACGATGCGCATGGGCTTTTTTATAAACACTCATAGAAACTGTTACATTTTTACTTTTATAAAGCTGATAACATGTAGAATAACTTACAAATAAAAAAAGTTAGGGTACAAGGGACGATATCTATAGAAAATTTGAAATTATTGTAAAAATGATGAAAAAAAAAACAGATTTTCATCAAAAATTTTTTTATTCTAAATGGATGTCATTACTTTTTCTGGAATTCTTCACTTTACTGGTACGGCCTATTATTTGCAATCACTACAAAATTTATTCCAATATGATAGGACATTCAGTTTAAAAGTTGTAACGATTTATTTAAATAGGGTTAGCAGCTGACTCTAAAAATTTTAAAATATTCATAAAAAATCAATTATTGTTGTTAATTTTTTTTTTTGATGATTTATCCGTCGATGAAATAGAGTGTAGTTTACCCTGATTTTGATATGTGCACTTTATGAAGACTCACACTGTAGTTGAGATCTTGACAGATCCACATCTATTTAGCGCTTCAGATACAGTTTATATCAAAGGTCGTTAATAGCAGATGCTTGTAAGTCAGTACTCACTAACATTTTCGCCGGGAGCGCGAGTTGTCAAAGCTGTTTTTCTTCGATAAATGCTTCAAGTTTAAAATAAAACCTTATATAGTATATAGTATTTTGTATAAAATTAGTCCGTTTGAAAAAGCCGATCCAAAATGTTCAAGTCTAAATGTTCACTCGTTCACTATTCACTTGCTTGTCACGCTTTTTATATCAACTGTAAGGATCGTATCGTTAGTCGTTTCTATAATTGTAGGACGCCGCTATGGCCTCCTTGATTTTCATAGTTTTATACTGTTCCTTGTCAGCGCTCTAGTTTGAGGTTATGTTACAAATATCAATTTGCATCAAATTATTCATGCTTTTGATCTATATCATCTGCTATATCTTCCTGAAATTTCCTACAATTGAAAAAGAAAACATAGCCGCACAATAGGAGAGCGCTGACACGGAAATCTAGAAATACTTCAGCCTTTCTGAAGGAGAGAAAATACTATGAAAATCAAGGAGACCACAGTTGTAGGAACGACTGACGATATCCTAGGTTTTCAACATGCTTCTGAAATGGAACCACTTCAAAGAACACTTACAATAACAAGACGAGGTCGGGTTGAAAATGAGTTGCTTTTGGCAAAAACAGTGCCCAAGCTACCTCTTCTTCAATTCAAAACGCAAAACATGTATCAAGGTAATTTGTTATGATCTCATATGGTAGTATATAATTGTTGATATTGTTGTTAATCAGCTGGATTAAAGGACAATAAAATTATGTTAAACTATATAAATTTTATATGTTATTATGTTATGGATTTATTTCCCTATATACTTTTAATATTAGTGGTGTTCATATTGAAATTATCAAAATACTCCCGATTATAAACTGTGATAAATCGACTGAATTATTTTTATATGTTAATAAGCATCAAATAAATATATTTTACTGCGTCAACTGAAGAGTTTCATTTCTGACATCTGAATAAGGGACTGCAATCTTTTATATCAGTGATATGAACCTATAAATATTATCACTGATTAACATATTCTGCTTGTCTAAACTCACAACACCATTTTTTTTTGTTTTTTGCTGCTTTTGCTTTCTGCTATACCTACAGCGTATAAAGAGGAATCCATATACCACTGACGTCGAAAGGTGTACGACAGATAAGCACAAGAATGCAATACGTATGTTAGAAAGAGTGCGCCGTTTGCAAGCCGCAGCTGCGTCCGTCGCCTCGTCACTCGGGTCGCTAGGCAACGCGGTGCTTCTATCTCATTCTAACATACGTATTGCACGCTAGCGCTCCTCTCTACACATTAACTGACGATACGGCTCCTAAAGTAGCTGAGAAGACGAAACGTGATAAAACAGGAAGACGGCAGTTCATCATGGCGGCAGCGTTACGCGCACTGTTGCCAACTCTTAATTAATAAACTCGCTGGCTGTATGCTTGAAACCCGCTAAATAGGAAGTATTTTCTCTAAGTAATGGAGTCACTCGTACATTTATTACCTGATATTTGGTCTGGCTTTCGATAACGTCCACGAATCCTTCCCATGACTAAGAAAACAAAAAAAAGGTAATGGGTGTCGTTGATAAGCATGTATCACTGACTATTAGACAATTCATATAAAATCGATCTTTTTGCGCTGAGGAAACCTAGGTTCTCCGTAAAAAATCCGCTATCAGAAATTGTATTTTTTTTTTCGCCAAGTACAATTGACACCCGCTAGATTTAGCGGAAAATTGCTAGGTTGGCAACATCGGACTTCTTTCGCAGCAGGTTCGAATTCTGATGGCTCCAAATTTAAAATCAGCTATTCTTATGCCGCACGTGGGTGGATTATTTTCTTCGCCAATATACAGGGTGTCCGCAAAGTTGGGGTTTTCCTTTTCAGAAACAACTACCCTTGAAATAACAAAGGTAATGTGTAGTGAAACGAGGGCGACCAAGTAAAAAAAAATAAAGGAAAAAGTACTCACTCTCCAGTTGACGAGAAGGGCTAAGTACGTCTCTGCCCGAAATCGTACCGCTCCAACAGAAAATGAAATCAGCTGAAGCGCTATCGAGCAGACGCAGAAACCACATTGTCTTACACTTAATGGCACATCTTCTAACAAGGAAGGTAAAATTTTGCGTAAAAAGTCTAGGTATTGCATCCCGTCCAATCGATTTGGGAGAATAAATGGTCCAATGAGCATACCGTTCACCATGCCAGCCCAAACATTCACCGAAAATGTTTGTTGAAAATGTACCCGACGGACAGCGTGCGGATTTTCTACTGACCAAACATGAGTGTTGCGAAAGTTATTCACCCCCCTACGAACGTAGATTCGTCTGTCACCAATATGCACTTCAAAAAGTCCGCATTATTGTCTTGTTGATGCAACAACCACTCACAAAACCGCACTCTTGCTGGAAAATCGTCAGGTTGAAGGGCTTGTACACGTGGGACGTGAAACGGATACAGCCCCTCTTCACGCAGCGTTTGCCACACTTTAGTTTTTGATACTTGCACTTCTCTAGCCACGTCTCTAGTGCTTGTTGAGGGATTCTCGTCTACGCGATTACCTCTACACGCGTGACAGTAACCGTCGGTTGAAGGTTGCATACTGACCTGACACACTGACCCCGACCCAGTTCTGTCGTCGGGTTGAGCCAGTGACCTTGTACCAGTCGGTGATGTCGCGGCTACAGGACGGTATTCCGATATTTTTGATGTTGCAGAGCCCTTTATCTCGGTTCCCTTAAGACATTGGTGTATATGGTACTAAGAAAAATTGCTTATGTTTTCAAGATCTACACGTCGTGTAAAGGAAAACCCCAACTTTGCGGACACCCTATATATTTAATGGATTGACCAAACGGGACAACACGAAGTCATCAAAAATATACGACGTACAAGATATGATAGTCAAGAAAACACATTTTTTACTTTTTCGTTGTAACTCCACCCATTGATGTGCATACGTGTACCTATTACATTGGTATTGCCATGGATGCAATAAATTGAAAATATCTATTTATCTAAACATTAATATTTCGATACTGTCGTAGCAACAAGTTCACATAATGTGACTGTGCTATGATGACCTGAACCCCCGAACCCCGCACGCAGGTGGTAAATCCACCGCGATGCAGCAGAGCGGTACTTGGGAACGTATTCTTCGGAAGAAAACGATTAAGTTTCGTAGCACATTTTTTAAATGAAGAAGGACAGTGTGAAAGTGAAATGAAATGTGTTTAGGTGAATGATCTTAAAGTGCGTGTTTCTGGAAGAAGGCTACTCAACAAGCAAATTATTTAAGTAACTTTACATCTTTGACATCGCTACCACCATATACATATGTATATTTTGGTTAATAGTATGAAAACTGATGTCTAAATAATTAATTACAATAGCAATCAACGTTTTATGACTATCGGCATAAAATGTAAACCAATGCAATATCGTTGTCGTCTACTATACAACGTTATTAAAATTCTCATTTATTTAAAAAAACAGGATATCAGCCCTAACACAAGTGATGAGTATGCAAGGCTCACCTAGATTGCTGCACAGATATCCTGTTTCCCTCAGAAGAGTTGGAAGTAGACCTAAATTCCACTTTAGAGACACTTGACACCCACGTCACAGCACTAAAGCACCACTGAGACACAATCGAGAACCCTATAGTGAACATCACTACTAAAAGAAAGCAGCGGAATAGAGCTATGCACGGAGCCATGAACGCGTAGACACTGCGCCGACGGTTGCCGAGCGATACAGTACGGCCGGGTAGTACAGCCACGCCCATTTCCAGCTCCCACTCCGCGCGTCCGCTCCCTTCAACGTAAACATCGAGTCGCTTGTGATACTGTCAGATAAGAAAACGCAGACGCGCGGAGTGGTAGCTGGAAAGAGGCGTGGCTGTACTACCCGACCGTACTGTATCGCGAGGTACAGCAGTCATGCGCTTCAGTCTCTCGGCAACCGTCGGCGCTGCGGAATGTCCACACGTTCACAGATCCGTGCAGAGCTCTATTCGGTTAAGCCATTTTTTAATAGTGGTGTTTACTATAGGGTGCTCGATTGTCTCTCAGTGGTGTTTTAGTGTTGTGATGTGGGTGTCAAGTGTCTCATACATGTGCAGCAAACTAGGTGAGCCTTGCATACTCATCTATTTGTGTGCTAGGTTTGACAGCCTATGTTTTTTCAAATAAATTGCGCACATTGCAGACATTGAGAGATTAGTCATATATTGAGGTATTTAGGAAAAAGTAAAATTTGGCCAAATCGATTTTATTTTTGTCTGACTTCATATTAAGAAATGTCAAAAAACTAATGGCACTACATGATGGTGTTTTTAGATGTGCCCGAAGTGCACAAGTTAGTTACGGAACATACATTATTATGAATAGGTAAGTATTCAAATCAAAATACTCGACCACAATCACAGCAAACAAGTAAATAATGTTTTTCGCCGCTACTGGTTCTAACTTAAAACCATCAAACACATGACATTTCGTGTGGGAGCGTAACGAACCATGCTTCCAACGTTGTAACGTCCTTTGACGCGGGTCAAATTCACCGACAAGAGCCCGAACGTACCACGTGGCGAACGTTGGACACATGCAATCCGTCAGCGCTCTCCCGCACGATGTGGCGAATGGCCAATCTGTCTAACACGGTAAGGCATTCGCCATTCGGACGTTCGACGCATGGTGACGCCAACGTTTATTATCGGTGTCAGTGTCGCGCTTGAACCTTTACAACTGAAGGAAAAATTATACAAAATAAACGATGAAACAATTTTTTCGAGCGCCGAAAAATAATTTCAGATCTGTCCTCAGCGACCAAAACTTAAGTCTGTCAGAAGCCTCAAAAATGTCGAAAAACGAAGTTTGACCGTTTTTTGCTTATTTTTCGAAGATAGCTCCACCGCCACTGTACCGATTTTCAAAAACTGTTTTTTCGTCATTTTCATAGTAGTAACCTAGGGTCAAAATTTCATTAAAATCGTGTTAGTACTTTCAGAGTTATCATTTATTTAATCTTTTTCGTTAGTTATGAAATGGAAGTCAATATCTTTCTCAACTAAACTGAATCCAAATTCAAGATGAGATGTAAATAATAACAGTTAGCGGGCGATCTCTCGGTAACAGGTGGGGACAACGCCTCTTATTGGTCAATTCGCCATTAAATTTCAAGCGGCCGCCTGGCGGAATAATGCGCGGGGCAGGGCAGGCAGAGTTGCACTCAGGCCACCGTCCGTCGCGTGTATCACTGCGTGCTCGTGTTTTCGTATTCACCTTGCTTGGTTGTTGCTGTTGTTGTTGTTAAGTGTATTTGAGTAATTTGTTAAGTTTCTGTTTCTGTTAAATACTGTCATCTTTGTTTTACAACACGTTGGTGGTAGTCCATCATTCGGAGGTAGCCCTGAATGCGGCTCTGTACGCCGTCCTTGCTTTTGGCAATCACGCATCCATTCTATCTGGGGTGTAAACACACTATAGTCTTACATTGAAACAGGACATTATAACGAAACAACTGTAAGCACTTTTTGTTGACTCTCGATTAATTTTTGATATTCATTATGAAAAAGTTATAAATAAGATTAGTAGTAAAGTGGGATATTTATCGAGAGTTTCTGGATGTCTGAGTTCATATAGCAGAAAAATTATCTATAATACCATCATTCTTCCAAATTTCTTGTACTGTTCGACTATTCTATATTTAGCAAATAATTCCATTTTTGAAAGACTGCAAATTTTACAAAATAAGTGCATAAGAATAATACTAAATAAAGATAAATATACTCCAATTAAGCAAATGCTTAGCAAATTAAAATGGCTCAATGTAAAAATTTTTATCAAATATCTTGTAATGATATTCATTTATAAAGTAAAAAATAATATATTTCCATTAAGTCTAACTAATTTAACATCATCAAATGTCGACCATCATTTACATAATACCAGAAATAAAGATGACTTCCATTTAATGACCAAAAAGTATAACATATGCTACAAATCTGTATTCCATCAAGGGTTGATTGAATATAATAAATTAAACTCGGAGATAAAAGACCAGAAAACTTTGACAAAATTTAAAGTAAAATTGAGAAATCACTTGTTAAATCTACAATTATAGGTTGCCCAGCATTTACATCATACACCATATGGCTTGAATTTACTAGTTCTAAGTTGTTTACAATTGTTCTGTTTATGTAGCCAAATGTGCTAAATAAATCTTTCTACTACTACTACTACTACTTGATAATTTATAATTTACTAAAATACATATCCTGGCCAGCCATAACTCACCTGCGAAACGTACAAAATATTACCAATATGAGAAAAGTGTTGTTATGGCAGCCTATGCTTTGTATGTATACTAATTTAATCCATTCTCCTCAAAAGTCAGTTACGGAACATACATTATTATGAATAGGTAGGTATTCAAATCAAAATACTTCCCACATACCACTACTTCCCGACAATCACAGCAAACAAATAAATAATGTTGGTCACCGCTACTGGTTCTGGTTATAACCTAAAACCATCAAACACATGACATCTCGTGTGGGTGTGGGAGCGTAACGAACCATGCTTCCAACATTGTAATGTCTTTTGACGCGGGTCAAATTTACCGACAAGTGCTCGAACGTGCCATGTGGCGGACTATGGACACATGCAATCCGTCAGCGCTCTCCCACACGATGTGGCAATGGCCATGTGTCCAACGTTGAAAGGCATTCGCCACATCGTATGGGAGCGGCTTAACACTTTACGAACGCAGCATAGGAATTCCGAAAACTGACTGACGTACACCTGACAGTTGTGACACTTGTTTTTGTGGTTAGAAAAAAGTTTTGCCGGTAAAACGAGTTTGAAAAAGTTGAAACGGAAGGCACGTGAAGTGATATAATTATCGAGTACGATTTAAAAGGAACCAATAAAACAAGCTGTGATTATACTTCAGAAATCTTGATTCTAGTCAATGAACTACTATGGGGGATCTACACGTAATTTGCCATGAAATCCCAAAACTCGTGAGTACAACATGTTTCAAACAATGTATCCTCCATGTTATATCAAAATTTCTTGTAGGAGTTGCACGCACATTTAAACGGGTCCTTGACTGAAACATGTTTGAAAAAATTGAAATGTCTAGACTCGTCAATAAAAGGATACCAAAGAATGACAGAAGTCTTAAACAAATCTCAAAGAAGTCTCTCTGAATGTTTTGAAGTGTTTAAAATAGCTCACAATGCCACCAACAATGTAGAAGCTGTTTTCGCAGCTACACAATCTGTGATCTCAGATTTCCACATGGACCATGTTGTGTATTTGGAGCTGCGAACCACACCCAGAGCTGGACAAGACATGAGTAAGGAAGACTACATAGCAGCAGTGGTGACGGCTATCCTGGCAAACCCCTTAGAGATCATTGTAAAGCTGATCCTATCTATTGATAGACGAAATAGCATAGAACAGTCTCTTGATAGCTTAAATGTGATATTGAAGATGAAATTGAAGTATCCTGATGTGATAGTAGGAATAGATTTTAGTGGCAATCCTGCAGAAGGAGAATTCAATGAAGATTTATTTAAAAAAGCAAGAGAAGGTGGACTAAAAACATCAATACATTGTGGAGAAATTAGGAATGATGAGGAAATAGAAAAGATCTTGAAATTTGGGCCTGATAGGCTTGGGCATGCAACATTTTTGCATCCTGAATATGAAGGCAATCCGAACAACTGGAAATTATACCTTGAGAAAAAAATTCCCGTAGGTAAGGCAATTATATTGTACAATTTTTCGATGTCCAGTAAATTTCAATATTTCCTATAACCAGGGTAATTCAAGAAACAGTGGCACTGTTGTATTAAACAATATCAGCAGAAAAATCTTTTTGCCATTGGCTTCGTTGAAACATCTATTGAACTTTTGATTGGGGCATACAACTTTGGGTGAATTGTCTTTTGAGAATTTTTTATTGTCTTATTCCTGTCAGAAAAAAATAACCTGATTGTTTGGATTGTGGTGTAGAAATTTATGACCTTCTGTATTGTAGTAATGGAATCTTTCAGAACTCAGAACCTATGTTCATAGAGGTTTTTATGTTATTTTTTTGTGTACCACATTCCCACAACTTTTTTTAGGATAAGCCAGAAGGTTCCTAATAAATGAGCAGAGTATAAATAACTCATATTTCACGTTGGCTGCAACTATGAAATTTTAACATTTAAATATTTTAGAATATACAGGGTGATTCATAAGTCATGCCCAAAAATGAAACATCATACACAGGGCCGCATTTTAAGGGGAGTCTTCTATGTAACATTTTTTCCTCAACATTGAGATTTGGTATGTGTATTTACCTAAGTATTTTCCACATTCAAAACTCTGCTTAAAATTAACGTGCGCCAGTGGCGGAGATACAGGGGATTAGTCGCATTATTTAAAAAAAAAATAGTACGTCACTGTTTTTTTTTTCGAAACGCGCAATGTTTCGAATTTTATTTTCAATTTGCAACAAATTAATTGTTTTTTCCTAGAGTGCACTGTATAAATAAAAAAAAATAGATGAAGAGCAGATTAGTTGCAAAATAAAAAAAGGAGGCCCTGATACCAAATTGACGATTTTGTCAACGTTACATATGTGTTATACGGTTGTTATCATTACTATTACCTTTTTTTTTATAAAGTCAAAAGTTTCTTTTTTCCATTTTTGAGTGTTGTGAAATGGAATTTCTGTAATGGAAATGCTGAAGCAGCTTCTCGGGAGTATCAACGTAGATTTCCTAACAGACTCCAACCTACCCCAAAGGTTTTTACGCGTTCATTTCTAACACTTAGGCAAAATGGAATTGCCAAACTTCCCGGAGTTAGAGGCCATGATGTCCGGCATACTTTTCAAGATTAACTGCAAGTGACTAATTTGGCGTTGGATGACCCTAGTACAAGTACTAGGCAGATTGCAGCCCAGTTACCAAGTTCACAAAGTCTTGCTTGTAAAATCGGGAAGTTTTACATCCTTACCATCGGAAAAATGTGCAATATCTGCAACCCGGCGACAAAGTGCAATGGCGACATTTTTGTGAGTGGTTACTGTAAATGCTTAATTGAAATGCAGATTTTGATGTGGTTTTGTGGTCAAATGAATCGCTTTTTACGAGAAGTGGAAGTGGAACCTTTAAATTTCAATGAACATATACTAAGTGACATATAAATCCGAACACCCAGTTTAAATGGTTTTATTTTAATAAAATTTTGTATAAGTACTTAATGAAGCATAATAAGTAAATGATAAAAATTTCAAAATGATTGCACTGCTTTAAAGCCCTTTGGCCTTTAATAATGTGTGGATGTACCCTGATGTGCTACGCATTCTCCAACGCGCCTAGGCATGCTTCTGATCAGGTGGTCAATGTCCTCCTGTGGTATCTCATTCCAGGCAACCACCAACTCCTCTCGAAGTGCTTCTAGAGTTTGAGGAGGTCGTTGCAAATTCAGCAATCTCCTACCCATCATATCCCACACGTGCTCAATTGGGGATAAGTCGGGAGATCTTGGTGTCCATGGTAACAATGTGACATCATTATGTTGAAAGAAGTCTATTGTGACTCTTGCAACATGTGGTCGGGCATTATCTTGTTGGAAAGTTGGATCTGCCAGGGTGTCAAGATAGGGTAACAGATGGGGTTCTAGAACTTCGTAGATATAACGCTGCGCGTTCATGTTACCTCTGATGAAGATTAAAGGTGACCTGGAACCATAAGCTATAGCACCCCAAACCATAACTCCAACAGTGTGATGAACATGTCTTTCAACAAAAAACTGTGAGTTCCTCCTTTCACCACGTCGCCTTCTAACCCTGGCACGGCCATCGTGCATGCCTAAACAAAATCGAGACTCGTCACTAAAGACAATACTGTTCCATTCCTGATCCCAGAGTGACCGTTGTCTGCACCACTCAAGGCGATTACGTCGGTGTTCTCGAGTTAAAGGGAGGACCCAGTGTGGCCGGTATGAAAACAAGCCAAAACTTCTCATTCATCGGTAAACACTTCGCATGCCAATAGGTCTTCCGTGTTCTGCAAACCATTCATTTGCAATGGACCTGGTATTGGAGAAACGGTCCCTTAAGGCCAATAATCTTAGGCGGCGATCTTCACGGTCTGTTGTTCTACGGCGGCGTCCAGTGCCCCTTACTCTTTGCGTATGGCCTTTTCGAAGATATGCCTGACAACACCTAACCACAGTGTCTACACTTCTTTCCACTCTAACTGCAATTGCCCGAAAAGAGAGTCCAGCTTCCCGAAGTCCCACTATACGGCCCCTATCAAACTCACTAAGTTGACGAAATCGTACAGGTCTCCGTACTCAAGGCATCGTAACCGATCGTAAAGGATGTCAAGAACCAAAATCCGCCAACGTTGATTCTTTACTGCGGCTGAAATATTCATTTTTAGAGCGTCAGTGAATTAAAAAAAGCAGTATAAAAATCGGAATGTCCAACTGACAAGGCTGAAAATTTTTCACTTGTTATTTACAGTAAGATAAATACATTCACCAACTTTTATTAAAATAAAAGCATTTAAACTGGGTGTTCGGATTTATATGTCACTTAGTATATTTGGTCGTTAGAAAATCCCAGTTCTATCCACTCGGTTCAACACAGATTTTCTAGAAATAGAAATTATTTGTAGCAAATTGAAGGTAGAATTCGAAAAATTGCGCGTTTCGAAAAAAAAACTGGCATACTATTTTTATTTGAAAAAATAATACCACTAATCTCCTGAATCTCCGCCACTGGTGCACGTTAAGTTTAAGTGAAGACAATACTTAGATAAATCCACATACCAAATTTGGTTCATTCCATTTTTTTATACTCCGACTACCACGAAGGCCTAAGGCCTAAACACCCATTGGGTACGTGGGGCTATAGGGGGATACAGGGGAAAGGGGGGACGCCACACGGACTCTGGCGAGGGAATACGTGTGCATGCAACATGCACACATTCTAGCTCCGCCTACGAGATCCGCCGGGTGGTACCTCCGCGTTCGACAGTCAGAGACCATCTACCACCTACGGACAACCACAACATCTATAGCCAAGAAAAAAATTTCTCTTGGGACGGGATTCGAATCCGCACAGCGCACGGCGACCGATGAGGAGACCGAAGAGTCTACTGCGGCCACCGCTGCTGCCTAATTCTTCTTTACGTAATGAATGTAAGGCCTTGCTTCGAAGTTCACTATATTTTTCCTGGTTTTCAATTGATTTATTTAGTTTATATACAGGTTGTTTCAAATCCGACGCTCACCATTAGGATCTCAGAAATAAAGATCGCATTTGTCAAAAATCGTTTTCAATCATTTCCTTACTTCATTTGTACTGGGATTTTAATATAAATTGCACATCAACATTGCCACACTGGATTTTTGCACAGGTGAATAATAAAATGGTTTTCAATTCTGATTCCAAAAATGTATCATGTCATACATTGCTAAACCTTAGTTTAGCAAAAAAAAAATAGAATTTTCTAGATAGGCCTTGAAATTATCGGATAGTCATTATCTGTTTCGTAGATCAGATTTATCCCACAATCATGAAGATATTAAAAAAATGTTATTTATTTTTAAACTTCAACACCCCTTATTTTTTTAATGAAGCCGTCGAGAAAAAAATGTTACATAGAAGATCCCCGTTGAAATGCGGTCCTGTGTGTGATGTTTCATTTTTGGTCACGACTTGTGTAAGTTCCACCAAAAAAAAAATCTACGGAATCATGAAAAAACAATTGCATTACTCTAGCATAATATGTCAAATAGTGGCATGTGTTCATAGCTTACTTGCAAAATTTGATTTAATTTCGATAATCAGATTATTTTATAATATGAATTGTGAAGAAAAATTAGCAACTTAAAATTAGAGTATTGCAGTGTCATAAAGTTTCTGACAAAAGGGGTCATCATCCAAAAACAATTCTTGAGAGAATGGCTGCTGAGTATGTTGGTCGAAACAATCCTAGTAGGTGAAAATGTTGAAGCCATGGTTGTCGAAGATCATCGTGTGAGGGTCTCTACCATTAATATGGCATTGAATTATCAGAACCCAGCTTATAACCATCTTGTAGACAATTTGAACATGCGTAAGGAGGGTTTCATGACTGTTGAAACCTGAACAAAAAAAAAATGGTTCTGCTGACCGTGCATAACACTGCCAAAATTAGAACAATTGTGCAAATACAGCTTCGTTGAGATAGACCATCCTCGCTAGGAGTTTGCTCCATCTGTCTTTTATCTCTTTGGATCACTAAAAAAAAATGATGGCACGTGGTGGCCTAAAAGCAGCCGTTAACAACTTTTTATCGCGCAAGCATGTAGGAAGGATCATATTGAAAATTAAGATTATTTAAAAAATCGTTTTTTGTTTAATGGCTAGGTAGATTTGTTTTCTAGTACTCTTCGCATTTTTTCATTCTAGCTTTTGATTGTTTTATAAAGCCCCAAGTTCATATTCATATCTTCATTTATATTTAGTTTCATATGAGCGCATAATTGCAATACTTTCTACTTCAAATCTATACTAACATAACATTTCATTAAGAAGCTTATGTTTGCTAATGGCCTGAAGCTTTACTCATCTGTTTATAGCTGGCAAACTTGTGAAAACCTCCAACAACAAATAATTTTTTTACAAATATGGTATATTAATACCTTCACCTGGAAAGCCAAATTTTTATTTCGATTGTCAGCTCACGTTTAACTACCACACCAGTGAAATTATAAATAATGCGTATCGCATATATGGCATTATTGTCAGAAATTGTATGATTTTCAATATCACAATGCTTATGAAGTTATTTTCAGTGCTTGTTATAAGTAAATTAGAATACAGTGAAATTATTTAGAACCATAATAGTGATGGTGTCTATCCTCCAAGAGGATGGAAAAACGCAGAAAGCAGGCGTCGATCATATTTTTTTACACCATTACCGCATGGTAACATCGACTGTCCTGTTTTGTTATCGCAAATTGACTTCCTGGTACCTAGTTTGACATCCAAATATAAAGTTTATTTTTTCTGCAAGATGGCACAGACAAATATTTTATCTAAAGCACCGATATATGGGGTTGTCCAAAACTGTATGAAAAATAATATCGCTCAAATGTTCACCACGACTGGATTTACAGACGTCCACGCGATGGTCGAAATTTTCAATGACATTTTGCAACATGGTTGGTTCTATGGCATTTATCTCGGCAATGATGTTCTTTTAGAGTTCTTGGAGGGTGGCTGGTTTGTTGACGTAGACTTTGCTTTTTAAATATCCCCATAAAAAGAAGTCCAAGGGAGTCAAATCGCACGATCTTGGTGACCATGGCACATTTCCTCTGCGCGAAATCACGCGATCACCGAAGAAGGACTGCAATCGATGGATATTGACGTTGGTTGTGTTGCATGTTGCACCTTCTTGTTGGAAATAAACATCGTCCATATCCATTCCTTCAAGTTGCGGCAAAAAATAGTCCTCTATCATCACGTGATATCGCTCAGAATTGACGGTAACGGCGTCCCCGGCCGCATTTTCGAAAAAGTAAGCTCCGATGACGCCTTTTGACCACAATGCACACCACACAGTCACTTTTTGAGGATGCATCTTGATACTCACGGGGATTTTCGTTCGCCCAGATGCGGCAGTTTTGCTTGTTTACCGTCCCATTCAAAGTGAAATGCGCTTCGTCGCTGAACATGATTTTTGATGAAAAATTGGCATCAATTTGGCGGTGTTCAAGGAGCCAATCTGAGAACGTTCGGCGCGAAAAATGGTCGGCCCGACGCAGCTCTTGCGTCAATTGGATCTTGTAGGCGTGTACATTCAAATCCTTGTGGAGAATGCGGAACAAACTGGTTCTCGAAATGCCCAATTCTTGGGATCGACGCGTTGTTGATTGTTTCGGATCGTCTCTCACACTCTCCTTCACAACAGCAATATTTTCCGGTGTGCGAACGCTCCTTGGCCGGCCAGAGCCTGGCAGATTTGCCACAGAACCTGTTGCCTAGAATTTACGCACCAGACGACCGATGGTTGTTTCGTTTGGGCGGTTGTTGCGACCGAAATGTTCACGAAGCGCGCGAAACGTGTTTTTTATTTTTGCACCATTTTTGTAGTGCTCTGGAATAACTTTAATGCGGTCTTCAATCGAATACGACTCCATAGCGATCAATGGTAAACATTCAACTAACAAAATGACATGTCGGTGACAGAAAACAAAGATGGCGTCTATGTCAAATTGACGTTTACTTTCCTGCGTCCCTATTGGACAACCCTTTATTATACGCTCACATCTTTGATTTTTTTACCTCTTTCTGTACGCGTTTTCGTGTGTTGTATGTATATTTATGTGTGCGAACGCTCCTTGGCCGGCCAGAGCCTGGCAGATTTGCCACAGAACCTGTTGCCTAGAATTTACGCACCAGACGACCGATGGTTGTTTCGTTTGGGCGGTTGTTGCGACCGAAATGTTCACGAAGCGCGCGAAACGTGTTTTTTATTTTTGCACCATTTTTGTAGTGCTCTTGAATAACTTTAATGCGGTCTTCAATCGAATACGACTCCATAGCGATCAGTGGTAAACATTCAACTAACAAAATGACATGTCGGTGACAGAAAACAAAGATGGCGTCTATGTCAAATTGACGTTTACTTTCCTGCGTCCCTATTGGACGACCCTTTATTATACGCTCACATCTTTGATTTTTTTACCTCTTTCTGTACGCGTTTTCGTGTGTTGTATGTATATTTATGTGTGAACGTTACATGATGTAGCTATATATATTCCTTTTTTTCTAATACCTATTGATCATACTCATAGTTTCTTTTCTCTCTACTTAAAGCGCCTTTCGCTATTTTGTGTTTTTTTTTCACTTCATGGCACACAGACAGTGTAAATTAAACCATTGTACTATGTATTGCTCTCTAAATGGTATCTGTACTGTTGGGCAATAAATGCTTTATTATTTTTATAAACAAAAATTTTCTGTCCACACACTCAGATTAAAACAAGTCTCATAAATTGTGTATTGTTTGTTTCAAGCATTTGTTTTCAATGTCACTGCAGAGGAGCAACCTTTTATTTTTATTTCTGTTTTATCTTAGTATGTTTTATTATAAATTTGAAGCAGAAAGTGTTGCGATCATGTGGTCCTATAAAATACTAAGTTAGATATTTGATACTCTTTAGGCAAAGTTTATGCAGATTTTGTCTTATTTCAGAGTGCTGCCTTACCTCTAATGTGATATGTGGAACTACAAAGAGCTATCCAGAACATCACATTCGTGAGTGGATCAGGAATTCTTTACCTCATTGCATATGTGTAAGCCAAAATGTTTATCATTCTTGAAGTTAAATATTACTCTAGTGCGTAATAATTTCGTTTCACGCTGATAAAAATTTTTATATTTCAGTGATGCTGGCGACTCACTTTTTTCGATCCAACTCGTTTTCATTGAAAACATTCACTATTTCCCTCTCGCTGTACGTTTTGTCGTGTGTGAACGTTTTCGAGGTGCTGTCCTCGTTCTCCTAAGCTTCACGAAATGAATTAAACTGTTTTAAATTAACAATGACAAAGTTGTCAATGAACAGAAAATTCTTCCCAAGCTGACGTTGAATTTTAATTCAGCTTGGCTAAAAGCACTATATATATATATATATATTTTTTTTTTGAGACGTGGTCATTGTCGTCTAGACCAGTTAGGTGAAAAATTAAAGCTTCCGCCTTTTGTGGGTACTTCGACAAAATTTAAGCAAAGAGGACTCTTTATACTTTTTTAATTCTCTCTAGCTTTCAATGGACTTTGCCATCATCATCAGGAGAGTAGTATGTGAGGATGTTGCTAATTGTTGTTTACGTTAGGATGAGGGAAACGCACAGTAACATGGTGAAAGCTGGATAGATGGTACAATGGTCAAAATTATATAAATATACACAATTGTGTGACAAGAACAAGTTAAAAACAGATTAATTTTTTTTTTAAAACTGCTCGAAGCATTACATCGTGAAGCCACTTGATGATTGCACAAAATGGTGGTCATGGAATAAAAAAAAATTTGTAATCTGTTTTTAACTTGTTCTTGTCACACAGTTGTGTATATTTTATATAATTTTGACCATTGTACCATCTATCCAGCTCTCACCATGTTACTGGACGTTTCCCTCATCCTATACGTAAACAACAATTAGCAACATCCTCACATACTACTCTCCTGATGATGATGGCAAAGTCCATTGAAAGCTAGAGAGAATTAAAAAAGTATAAAGAGTCCTCTTTGCTTAAATTTTGTCGAAGTACCCAACAAAAGGCGGAAGCTTTAATTTTTCACCTAACTGGTCTAGACGACAATGACCACGTCTCAAGTTATATATATATATATATATATATAAAGAGAAAATGATCATGCGGCGAAAGGTATATAACAAAAAGTATTAAAATAATGGGCAAATGCGCAAAAAGGAGAAAAGTGGATGCGAGCAGAAAATAGGATAGGTAACCCGAGCGATACGTATTTCTGCTGGTTGGCTTCATCAGGCCTGAAATCTTTCTCGCATGATCATTTTCTCTTTGTAGATCCTTTGGGCTTGAAGTACCACAGCAAGTGGCTATACCCGGCCCGCGTGGTTGTGGTTAGATATCTCCTTGAAATTCGAGGTCTTCTAGCCATTTATACTACAATGTGTACGTTGGCTCTTGTTGTGGACTTCGTGTGTTGTTTTTTTCCCTCTCCATCTTCGTTTCCTCAGGTTACACCCGTATCCGGATGTGTGGGCATGTGTATCTACTTTTGTAGTTTCATATGTGCATTCATTTCGGGCCTGATGAAGCCAACCAGCAGAAATACGTATCGCTCGGGTTACCTATCCTATTTTCTGCTAAAATCCACTTTCTCCCTTTTTTGCGGATTTTGCCCATTGTTTTCCTACTTTTTGTTATTGTTATTGTTATTATATATATACAGGGTGTTTCAGTTTATTGTTGCATAACTTTAGATTCGATAGAACTTTTAAAATTAATGCATAAAGTCTATATAAACATGGTCGAAAAATGCGTGGCTTCCGAAATACAGGGTGTTTAAATTTACTTTCTAAAATAGTTTTTTTTAAATATTTCGAAATATTTGAGGTATAATAGTGAAAATTGGTATACAAGGGTTTTTTGGTACGACAAAACGAACCATGGGCATAGTTTTACTGTAGCCGCTAGAGGGCGCTCTCTACTGTACCTTAGTGTATTAAAATGACCGAAAAAATTTTCTTAGTGCAATTTTTTGCTTTTTGAATAAAAAAACTGATTCTTCGCACTTTTCAACATAAAAAAGCTTTCCTGTGAGTTTTCGTTACAGTTAGGCGTTTTTGAGATATTTCGATTTTTAAGGTTCTATGCATTTTTAATTATTTATGGGAAAATAATATTTTTTTACATTTTCGATTTGGGCATTACAAGTAATTAAGATGATCGTTAGATCGTTTAGTTGTTTTTAAACACAGCAATAATTCCTAACTCCAAATAAACACAAAAAACAGAATATTAATTTGTTTAATTTCCAATATTATTTTTAACAAATTAAATTAATTATTTACAACTAAAATGCTATTGGATAGTTAGGACAAACATACAAAATATAAAGTAGTTGCTCAAAATGTAAACCCAATTGTTCAATACACCATTCACATCTACGAATGATCGAACGTGGTATAGCATTATTCAAATAAGGCCTTATTTCATCACATGCATTCCTGATTCTGTCTATTAGCATATCTCTTGTGGTTACGGGAGTCTGGTACACTTTTCTTTTAGAAATCCCCACACAAAGAAATCTAATGGATTTAGGTCAGGGGATCGTGGAGGCCAGGCGACTGGTCCTTCTTTATAACTACGAGAACAAATATAAGGTCGGGCACAAGTTTAAAAACACCATCATGCAATGCCTAAAAGTGCTGAT